ACATGTCTGTGATTGCTCACGTGGATCATGGTAAATCCACTCTCACCGACTCTTTGGTGTCAAAGGCCGGCATTATTGCCTCCTCTAGAGCTGGAGAAACTCGCTTCACAGACACAAGAAAAGATGAACAGGAGCGCTGCATCACCATCAAGTCCACGTATGTCACATGACCCTGATTATAGTGGTTCTCACCTCTGGACTAAAACTACAACACAGTGTTTTGATTCAGAGATTACATTGCATGATTAAAGGAAAGCCTTCAAGTTTCTAATATCACTTTAATTAACCTCACATCCTTTGATTCACAGAGCAATTTCGATGTTCTATGAACTTGGAGACAATGACATGGAATTTATCAAACAGAGCAAAGATGGAAATGGTTTCCTAATTAACCTGATCGATTCCCCTGGCCATGTGGACTTCTCCTCTGAAGTGACAGCAGCTCTCAGAGTTACTGATGGAGCCTTGGTGGTGGTGGACTGTGTCTCAGGTATGTCTGGTATTTACTCATATTAATTCACCTGCTCACATATACTGCGTCTGTCCAGGCGTGTGCGTGCAGACAGAAACAGTTCTGCGTCAGGCCATAGCCGAGCGTATTAAACCGGTTCTGATGATGAACAAGATGGACCGAGCCTTGTTAGAGCTCCAACTGCAAACAGATGAACTGTATGCAACATTTCAGCGAATCGTAGAGAATGTAAACGTCATTATCTCTACGTATGGAGAGGATGAAGGAGGACCCATGGGAAGCATCATGGTGACTGCCAAAACACCTCTGTCCGTATGTGTGTGTGTGTGTGTGTTGATTTACTATCTAACAAATTGAACTAACATCCTAGATTGACCCAGTTATTGGAACAGTTGGATTTGGTTCTGGACTTCATGGCTGGGCGTTCACCCTGAAGCAGTTTGCTGAGATGTATGTCTACAAATTTGCTTCTAAAACTGCTAATATGAGCCCTGCAGAAAGATGTAAAAAGGTGGAAGACATGATGAAGAAACTATGGGGAGACAAGTAAGCCGTCTTATGTAAATGTGACGGAATATTCCATATCATGACTTACAAATAAACACATTGTTATTTTTTAGATATTTTGATACAACTACTGGAAAGTTCAGCAAAACTGCCACAGGTCCTAATGGGCAGAAATGTCCCCGCACTTTCTGTCAACTGGTGCTTGACCCGATTTTCAAGGTAAACCTACTTTTTAAACAACACTTTATGAGAGACAGAGAAGTAAAACGTCCCTTATTGCTTTAGGTCTTTGATGCCATCATGAATTTCAAAACAGAAGAAACAGCCAAACTGATTGATAAGTTAGATGTCAAACTTGATGCTGAGGACAAAGAGAAAGAAGGGAAGCCTCTTTTGAAGGCTGTCATGCGTCGCTGGCTTCCAGCAGGAGAAGCTCTGCTGCAGATGATCACTATTCACTTGCCTTCACCAGTAACGGCTCAGAGGTACCGCTGTGAACTTCTCTATGAAGGTCCAGGCGACGATGAGGCTGCCATGGGTCAGGACATCACATGCTAATATAATTCACACATAGCTGTATTGTTTGTAACTCACACCTCTATCCTTTTTTCAGGCATAAAAAACTGTGATCCCAAGGCTCCTTTGATGATGTATATTTCTAAAATGGTTCCAACCACCGACAAGGGTCGCTTCTATGCCTTTGGCAGAGTGTTCTCTGGCGTTGTGTCCACTGGACAAAAGGTGCGCATCATGGGGCCAAATTTCAGCCCAGGCAAAAAGGAGGACCTCTACATTAAACCAATCCAGAGGTGAGTCTGGAATTAGAAATAATGTGCAGAGGGAATTTTATGAGTGCAGAAATCATAAACAGTTTGTATCTGTAACGCAGGACAATTCTTATGATGGGTCGTTATGTAGAGCCCATTGAGGAGGTCCCTTGTGGAAACATTGTAGGCCTCGTAGGAGTCGACCAATACCTGGTTAAGACCGGGACAATAACCACCTTTGAACAAGTGAGGCAACAATATTATTTTTTACTGGTAAATGATGAGTGGTAAATACATTTCAATCCTCTTGGCTTGCAGGCCCACAACATGCGAGTCATGAAGTTCAGTGTCAGTCCTGTGGTCAGAGTAGCAGTAGAGGCCAAAAACCCTGCGGATCTGCCCAAACTGGTGGAGGGGCTGAAGCGCTTGGCCAAGTCTGACCCGATGGTGCAGTGCATCATTGAAGAATCTGGAGAGCACATCATCGCTGGAGCAGGAGAGCTTCATCTGGAGATTTGTCTGAAGGACCTGGAGGAAGATCATGCCTGCATTCCACTGAAGGTGAATGATACGACACTCAATGACTTTATCAGGTTACTTGACTTTTTATTAATTATTGAACATATATGTGTGTATATATATATATATATATATATATATATATATATATATATATATATATATATATATATACACACACGCATTTTAATTATCAGTAAATTTTGTTTAATTATGTATTATATTAATATTTTTAGTATAGCATCAGTATTTCATTCAATGTAAGTGCTTAATTTGCAATACCTTACACTACTTTCGTCAATTATCATCGTTAATGGGACTTTTTTGAGACAAATATATATTTTTACATCCTCAAATAAAACTTAGTGTTAGTGTTAGAACTTAGTGTTGTAGACCAAAAGTAACTACCCTTTTCAGGGGGCACCTCGGACCGGAATGAGTGGCTGCATATCTGTGGGATTTTAGGGCTTAGACTGTTGGGTAGTTGGATGATAACAACAACTACCCAACAGTGCACCTTTCATTTCAAGACTAGAAAACATGATATTACATCATTTCTTTTTGTCCTTCACAGAAATCAGATCCAGTTGTTTCTTACAGAGAAACTGTCAGTGAAGAATCAGACCAAATGTGCCTGTCAAAGTCCCCCAACAAGCACAATCGCCTTTTCATGAAGGCGCGCCCCTTCCCGGACGGTTTGGCTGAGGACATTGAGAAAGGTGATGTTTCGGCCCGGCAGGAGCTCAAGGCCCGTGCACGTTACCTGGCCGAGAAGTTCGAATGGGACGTGACCGAGTCCAGGAAGATCTGGTGCTTTGGTCCAGATGGAAGTGGGCCCAACCTGCTTATGGATGTGACAAAGGGTGTTCAGTACCTTAATGAAATTAAGGACAGCGTGGTGGCTGGTTTTCAGTGGGCGACAAAAGAGGTAGCTGTTCCAAAACACTAAATGGCACTATACAACTAAGTGATCATGCTTCACCTTTTTCTTCTTTCCCAAGGGAGCTCTGTGTGAGGAGAACATGCGAGCTATTCGTTATGACATTCATGATGTGACACTACATTCAGATGCTATCCATCGCGGAGGTGGACAGATCATTCCCACAGCTCGCCGCGTCCTGTACGCCTGTCAGCTCACTGCACAGCCCAGACTCATGGAGCCAGTCTACCTGGTGGAAATACAAGTCAGTCCCTGACACCTCTTTACAATTGTAGTCCAACATAATTAATCCTTTTTTACTACTTCCTGATGTAGTGTCCCGAGCAAGTGGTTGGCGGCATCTATGGTGTGTTAAACAGGAAACGAGGTCATGTATTTGAAGAAGCCCATGTGATGGGCACCCCCATGTTCATCGTTAAAGCTTTTTTGCCAGTCAATGAATCCTTCGGTAAGATATTGTCAAACTGGTTTAAATTAATTTTGTTGCTATATTATGTCTAACTGAAATGTTTTTTGTAGGCTTCACTGCTGACCTGCGCAGTAACACAGGTGGCCAGGCCTTCCCTCAGTGTGTGTTTGACCACTGGCAGATCCTCCCAGGAGACCCCGGTGATCCCACCACCAGACCCTCACAAGTGCTCGCTGAAATCAGGAAGCGCAAAGGCCTCAAAGAGGGCATTCCTGCTCTTGACAATTACTTGGACAAATTGTAATCAGTTACTTAACTTAATGCCAAATCAATCACTAAACCTTTTTCATGGGCACCTACATTTTTTGCACAAGCTTTCAAATACATCGCACAAATGATTATTTTCACTATCATTTCACAGCAACAGTACACCAAGTGCCTAAGACCAGGGTTTTGGAGAATTGGAATAGAACTGTTGAAATATTACCTTCCTAATTCATTCTCTGAACCATCGGTTCTATTGGGCCTGTACAGTGCACTGTGACATAGCTGCAATATTTATCATCAATAAGGATCATGTACAAAAGCCATCAGCAATTGGGAATACACATTACTAATCTGCACTTTTGTTTTGTGTATGTAACAAATAAAATATATGAAACCTTTTTCTGTAAATAATTCATGTGTTTGAAGATTAGGAACGAGAACACCACATTTTCCCCACTCTTTAATCCATAGTAATTTGAATATACATGTTATTAAATGATATAATATACAACCCTTTCCAAAAAAAGAGGAAACAGCCTCTTTAACACACTTAAAGAACAAAGCAAAGAAAGTTAGTGTGCGTCCAGAGAAAGAAACATACGCAAGGCCAGGAAGTGCAACTACCAAGCAAGGTCACAAGATTTAACATACTGAACTGGATGTGTATTTATATGGTCGAGTTAAATATAATACAGCTTTGCAACTATGCCCAAAAGCCTTCGAGGTCTGAGTTGTTGCGAGTTACAATTGAGTAATCAAGTGCTGTTGAATGCAGGTTTGCATATAATCATGAGGCGAACACGTTTCTTGGCAAGTCAGTTTAACTATGAATATTCAAAGTAGAGATTGACAGCAATGATGGGCTGTAATTCGTTGAGGTTCGTCCATTTCTTCCTGCTTCCTTTGTGGAGTCTGTTACAGTGTTTATGACACAAAGGTTCAAAAGCAATGAACACAGACAGCATCTCGGGTGACTATACCGATCTATACCAAAGCCAACAGCAGTTGATTGATTGAGGATGGTGCGGCGGAATAGCTCCCAGGACGGCGGGCTCAGCGTGACTCCATGCTGATATTAAGGTGTCGGACTACTTAAAGATGGTACACACTTAGGGGTGACTATGTGTAAAAGATGACCTCTGGAATCTGTCCGTCCTCCACCGAAGTGCCATTGTTGTTCCCAGCAGCGTAGCAGAAGGTGAAACAGGTCTTTGTGCCGGTAGTCGATGACTCATGGGTAACTTTGCGCATTCCCTTAGTGCCATAGTGAGAGTCTGGACCCTGCGGTAAGAAAAATAAATCGCGTTAATTGTCAAGTGGAGTACGGCATATATAACAAAGCAGTGATCTAATGCAGCCAACCTTCAGTGTAGCACAGGCGGTGTAGTTGACATTGGGCAGGATCTCGACTGGTTCTTTAAACATGACCCTGAAGGTGTTGGCGGAACCGTCGCAGCTGAAGCCTGTGTCATTCTGTCCCAGCACCGTGTTACTGTCGGTGTGTATGATCTGAAGGAAAACCACATGTAAGTGGAGCGGTAATAATAACAATAATGGTCTTTGATCTGCAGTAATAGGCACCTGGATGTTGACTTGGTAGTCTGTTGGTCCATGTATTGACCCGTAAAGGCCAAATCCAACCACAAATATTCTTCGATTTACAGAAAACCTGGCAATGACAATAAACATTAAATTTATCACATATTTTTACATTAAAGAAACACGTTTTCTCACCAACCTGATGCGGTCACTGGTCCCACTATATCCCCAACGGCTTTCCACCTGAGCAAAACGTGTAATGCTGCATTCCTTCCCGCGGAGGCAGCACCGAGGGCGGTCGATGAAGTCTACTCGTGGCTTTGGATTTACGGTGAAGTGTAGAAAGAGGCTAACAACTTCTCTGTCGGTCAGAATACTGGACTGGGCAGGACCTTGGCAAAACAATTATATTCCAATTCAATGGATGTGAAAAAATGAAAACAATATTCTTCCCCAAGTCAGAAAATGAGCAGAAAACTCCCAACTCCAAGACCTTCAGACTGGTTTTCATCTCAGAAGCAGGATTACCAGGATTATACAATAGAGCCAACTCCCCTCAAGGGTTAGATATCTTTGCTCTTATGTTTCAGATCGAAGCAGTACTTTCATATATCATTAGGGTTAGGTTATTTAAACATGTTTCAATAAAGCTTATTTAAGCGTTTGACTGTTTGATTAAAGCGACGTATCTGCTCATTTTATTTCAAAATAGAGACAAAGGATAAAGCAGAGGAAAATGGATGGGTATAGAAATGAGAGATGACATATTGATTACCTGCAGCGAACTCTTCAATGGTCATAAGAGGAAATCGGATCAGTGACAGAGCCTTGCCCAGGACTTTGCGTTTGTTTTCTGGGGTGGGCTGAAGCTGCTGTCTGTGAGCCTCAGCCTCGGCCCAGCGCACTGCTGCACTGAACAAGCGCACTTCCCGCACGCCAAGAGTGTCCCTCTCCAGCACCGCCACCAGCGTATCTACAGTAAAGAGATTCAGATGAGTGTCGTACAGATGACAAGCAAATAGTTTTTGAAAAAAAGTCTCTATTCTACCTAGGTCAATGTCCGTGAATCCTTCTGCAGCAAGAGCATCTCCTGTGTTTTTATCTATGTTTTCAAGACAGAGACTTGCAAGTTGAGGTTCATCAAACAATCGAGCCTGAAAAAACAAATGTCTTATTAACTTCCTCTTCTGTTATTGGGATATTTAATAACTAACCTGTGTCAGCAGCATGAATGCATTGTCTGCTCTCAAGTTCTTCTTGAGGAACTCTACACAGTGAGCCTCCAGGGCTGGTACTGCATACTTTTTAGCTGTGTATAGTGTGGTCATTACCGTTTCTGGTCCAATCTGCACCTCATCAGAGTACAAGAACCTGGAAATAAGACAATTTCATAATTTATTCACTCACATTAATCTCAGTAAAACTAGAAAACGAATGCCCTAGGCTCTAAGAAAGCTGCTGGTACAAGATTTAAAACATCTTATGGTTAAGGTATACTTCAATGAACAAGTCATCTTAGTAAGTAATACTTTCACAGGAGGATTGTCCTGTGTCAACCGTCTGTGAGCCTCAGCCTCTGCACCAAGACATGCACCAATACATGCGCCTGTTTCATCACTTGACACACCGCTGCATCAATCCAGATAAATGACTGTCACACAGATGTCTGTCTTACTTGAGGAGCGCCAGGAACGCAGCTGGTTCAACGTCAGGGAGCTCGATCTCCGTGGAGGTGGTGGCCATGCCTCCGTTAAACATCGCGTCAAACACAGCACTTCCCACTGCGAGCACGAACCTGACAACATCAACACAATGAGTTACATGTTTATACGTCCGCAAAAAACGTGTGTGTTCTCACCTGTGCGCAGGTATTCTCTGGACGCCCATGCCTTTGCCAACTAAGAAGTGCACGTCGCTCAGCACTTCGTTGTTGAAGAGGAACGCAAACCTCTCTTTGACTGTGCTTTTTGTCGCCTGCCAGTTGTAAACAGGCTCCCGGTAAACCAGCACGGACGCGGCTGCCATCGGAGGCGCGGGCGCAGTGGTCGGAGGGGCATTAGAAGCACCACTGGAGCTCATATTGGAGGCGGGGGCCATGGCTCCAGATCCCGCAGAGCACTGTTGCTGCACGGAGTTGTGCGCAGGCGGAGCTCCGCTCGACACACCGCTGTTGTCCGCGGATCCAGGCCCCAGCTGCGGGTTCGGCCGTCGGGCTGCACCCTGAGGGCCCCCGCCCGCCCCCACAGCTCCGCCATTGGAGGCAGGCATAGAGAAAACACTGTTACTCGGCTGGCTGTTTCCCAAAGGACCCGGGCCCGAGAAGTTCAGACAGGGAGGCCTGCCACTGTTGTCTCCAGCGGCCATCTTGAACCTCACGTAGGCGTAAACAACACTGCTCTTCTTCTACTGCTGTATAGACAAATAACAGAAAAGGCACGCGCGTTCTTCCCTCTAGTGGTGGCTTTGCGTTACAGCAACAAGCACGTCTCTATCACAATCGTGAAAGTTGGGCCAGCGAAAAATGTATTAAGATTTCGTTTTCTTTTTAAATAAAGAATTAGTATATATTTTTTATTATTTTTAAACCGTGGGTTGAAAGGATATTTGATTTAAAATATGTTAAACTGATCATCACCGTGTACAAAACGGTTTGTTCTTTCAACATATTCTAGTAGTCGATCTATTCACAACCACTAATTCACCTTTTAAAAAAAACTGCACAGCTTGTAGAGAACAAGTGAACTATGATTCTTCCATTCTTTCTTCTTGAGTTTTATTATTATCTATGATCGAGAGCATCACTGGACCCACGAGCCCCTCCTCTCTCCCAGTGACGTCAGGGCGACGGGGCACCGGGGACCTGTCCTCGGCTGGGTGTTTGCTGGGTGCTGCTGGGTGCTGCTGGGTGCTTGCTGGGTGCTGCTCAAACAAGATGGCTGTGCGCGGAGCAGGTGGAGCAGCCTCGGAGCGCAGAGCGAGTTGAGCCAATGCAGAGAAGCGAGAGCAGAGGGGGCGATGGTCTCAGCCCTGTACGCGCCTCATCGTGTCAAAACTGTCCCACTACGAAACAACACACTGCCTCTCAAACCACCTCTGGACATGGAGCTGGTTTACGCTGAAACGAGCTGATCTTGTTGATTATTCTTTTTTTTAAAGCGGTGGACAGATTTGAGCGAAGAAATCACGGCGCAGTAGAGGACAGCCTGGGACGCGCACATCGTGAACAGAGATGTCCCTGCTCTGTGTAGGAGGTAAGAGGGCATGTGCATGTGTAAAAATCTGTCCCGGTTATCACATGAGACTGCTGCAGTGGGCTGACAGCTGTTCGCCTGGACGGGAGCGCGTCTGGGCAGCTCGGGCTTCCTGCTGAATTGTCTCCAAATAAGAGCGGAAACCCAACTCGTCTCATTTGGAAGCCGCACATTATGTTTTAGGTATTGGTGACAAGTGACAGGATTCGTGAGCGTAGATTGGTAATGAAATCAGCGCGCGTTGATAGTAGCTCAGGATATTCGGCCATTTGAGTCAGAAATGCGGATGACTGCCAGTATAGTTCACAATTACTTGAAATTTAACTATTATATTACATTATGTTCTGTCTTTGCTTGTGCTGCAGAAAGACCGGACATTTTGGGAGTCAGTGTCTAAAAAGAACTTGACAGAAATGAATGACATTGTTTGTAATTGCCTCTTTGACCTTGTATGATTATGTTGATAATGATAGTGCCTTTCTGACAGAGACTATTAAGGTGTATGGATACCTTTTTTCTTCCCCCGTGTGTGTGTCATCTCTTGCTCATTCATGCGTGGGCTCTCAAAGGAGGAGCTGGACAAGGAAAAGCCCCTGTCTGTCTGTCTCCCTGCTTTTGCCTTTCACAGTCTGTCTCTCTTTACTGTAGGCGTGAGGGAATACTCGTGTACACTCCCCAAATGATGCGTCACCGCCCCTGCTTCCATCACACACTACCTGCTCCAGTAATACCTGATGATGCTGATGCTGATGATGCTGGTCCTGATGATGCTGGTGTTGTTCCTCCAGGCTACAAATGAGCACTTTGTGACTGCTCATTCATTAAAACAAACCGTGGTGTTGTAGTCAAGCCTGGCTATTTAATCAATCAATACTCTATAAAACAGTGACTGGAATAGCATCCAGTCATTTTTATCAATTATAGAATCTACTCTTACACATTTATTAGTAGCCTAAACCTATACAGCTTTTCTAATCCCTGCTATTTTTCCCTGTACATCTCATGGTTAAGCAATATAATACAGTACTATTTACAGCTTTTTCTTTTTTGTGTGTTTCATAAATACATTTGTCACACAAAATGACATTATGGAAACAAATTAGACCAAAACATGTCTTTATCTTGAAAAATCATTTGATCTTTTACATACTGAGAACTGAGTGAGGACTTGATGTTACAGAGGCCAAAAATACATGTAATAGATATGAACTAAAGCTGGATTTACAGTACATGCAGTAGTTTTGTTTTGTGATTTAAAAGTTGAGCTTGAAGTTGATACAGGAGGCGGGATTTTGTGCTCTATCAAAACAATTTAAAAAACATTACAAAAAGGTGATACGAAATATGAGCTACATTTCATTTGAGTAATGTAGAAGCATTTTGGATTCTTTGGTGCCTCTGTAAGCAGCAGCAGCAGCAGCAGCAGCAGGTCCACCCACTGTCCCCCTATGCAGCCTCCAGCCTCATTCATTCATAAACACTCTGCAGTCGTCAATGTCGGGGACTGCCAGACTCACTTAGCAAAGAGCTCTTTTTCCCTCTCCTGCTCTTGTTACATCATTCATCCTACCTGACCATGAGCTATTTCTGGTCTATTCAGAAACGGTGCCCGCCTCTTCAAAGATCCATCATTTCTTTATCTGCAGACAGCACATTTGTGACACAGAATGCACTTTATTTTGTCTTGCGGATGTTTACTCGCCAAGGTCTTCTTTTATTCGGGAGCTAAATCAGGCGGTGAGATGTCGACAAGATACATATCGACACTCTTTTGTACAATCCAATTTCCTTCTGCTGCAGACTGTTCATCTTTTTAGTATTGTAGAGTTTACACAGTGAGAATATACTTTTTTTTGGCGTCTTAATTGGGTGTTGTTGTTCTGTTAAAAATGTTAACAACACGATTCTTCAAGTGTCCTGGCCATGAAATATTAAGTTTCTCATTTGTTGACCAGTGAATGATGTCAGGTGTAGACAGATGCCAACCACTGTCCCATATACATATCCATCATTTAAATATATATATATATATATATGTTTATGACTCTCTAAAGACTAACAATTGATCAGTACAATTTGGCTTCTTATTGTCATGACTTAATTTCACTGAATATGGTACATGGTGGGACAAAGAAAGCCATATACAGTGCTCAACAACCATTACATTTAAGGTGGACTTTTTATTTGTCATTTCTTTGTATAAGGAATCTATATTTTTAGGTCAGCTATACAAATTCTTTTTCATTTCCCTCAAAGCAAATGGCACAGATAATTGTCACGACGGCCAGCAGTGATGGAAACAACAAAAAGATGCATTGACAGCAACACAACACACACACACAAAACTGGTATATGGACCGTTCATACAAATTGTCCATTTACCGAGGGGCGGCTGAACTCAGCTTTTATCCCTGGACAGCTTGGAGTAAGCACGCTTCTTCTCTTGATTCTCTGTGAGTTTTTGGCAGCCTCCTCAGCCCCCATGAGTCACGCTGTGCTGTGTCAGAGGTACTTCCTGAATGAAGTACGGCAAGAGAAGGCTGAAGATTTAGATCTTCGTGCCATATTCTTCCACTGATTAAAACACGACGTGATTGTGCCCCTTTCTTTCATTTATCAAACCAGCGTTTCTTTAGTTATGGCTTTGCCCTCGTTTCCAACTGCCGGGCTCTTCAGCGATGACCTATATACAGAACAATTGATTCTATAATATCCCCATCTAACAGCTTTAATACATATGAGTGATGGGGTATGTACAGAGCATGTGTGTGAGGAGAAGGTCTGCTGTCTGCTGTTATTGGTCCATGTACTTGTACTTGTACTTGTACTTAAGGCTAAATGATGCCTGCGGTGCCTAGTGGACATTACTCCTCATAACTCAAAATGTTGCCAAGATTACTGGGCGTGTGAGATTGATGACTAAACTTCAACTTTCCGCTGTCAAAAAGCCAATTCCTTTCATCGATCCCCTACACGTACCAATAACGCTGCTGTGCTATTTTTGATGCAAGGCTGTTTGGTACCAAAAGGAAACATCAAGTGCTGTGTTTGAAGTAATACAGGAGAGGGTCTAGCATTTTCACACAACTGCAATTTTGTGAATCTTTGCCAGTGTCTGAAAATAGAAGCAGTCTTCTATAACCTATATCCCTTCAGGCTCGATAATAAATCAACACAGATCTCTGCAGAACAGGTAGGCTATGAGGCAGCTCCAGCCGGTCCTGAAGCAGAGCTTTAGACGTCTTTCATGTTTTACCACAAGTAGGGCTGTGTTGAACAATTGCTTGGTTGTGAAAATCTTTAATGTCTGACCCAAATTACACTCTGTGTAATATAAACCATCCATCCATCCATTTTCTACCCTTTAATCCATTTCTGGGTCAGGGGGGTGGCAATCAGAGATGTCACCCAAGTCTCATAGCACCAGCCCCTCACTGACCCTCTGCAGGTGGTGAGTCCACAGGAGGACGGCTGCTCTCTGAGTGTGAGCATAGCCTTGATCTTTCAGTGGGGGCTTTTGGGCAAAGTGGGGTTAAGTGTCTTGCCCAAGGACACAACGACTGCAGTCATCAGTGGGAGTCGGTGGAGAAGGTGTGGAGGTGGGAATTGAACCCACAACCTTCAAGCCTGAAGGCCAATGCTCTACCAACTGAGCTACTGTCGTAATATAAACCATGTATTATATTTATGCACAGGAACGATTAATTAACGATTAATAGAATGGTGTGAGTTGTATCTACCTTAATAAACACAATTGTTTGCTAATTTGCTCCATACACCTCAAGTGTTGCTATTTTTCCATAGAAACCGGGTAATTCAAAACTTTGTTGCCTGTAAGAGTAAGACATAATCATTTGAAACAGAAAAAAATACTATTATTATTATTAATATACTGTATGTAAAAATGTAACCTATTGCTTGTCCTCAAAACACTTTTATCACTAGTTTTCACAGTCAAGTAATCTTGGTCATATCTTTACATGAGCTTCTTTCAGATAGAAAAGTGAAAAATAGAGGACCATTCTCACTCAGCCAATCAGCATCAAATAATGACTCACAGGGCTCTTTCTCAAAGGTAACATGTTTTCTAAAAAGAAGAAAGGCATGGTTTGTTCACAACATTGTACTTTTCCAGGACTCACTCTGTTGAGACAAACACAAAGTATTATCTCTGAGCTTTAAATGAGCTTTAAATCTTGCGGCCGATGAAATATGGTCAAGTTTAGATGTAACATGGTCCCTTAAGAGAGCTTTCCATACATTAGATCTCTCGTCTTCATGTGCGTTGGATGTATGTAAGTATGGAGAAGGGCTCGATACAAAAAGCTCACGCTGAGTCAGGCCATTTTCTAACCACTCTTCACTTTATTCCCGTTGCCATGGACACCAGCTGGTCCGGCCTTTGGGTACAATTGAAAATCTGTTTAGTTCATCAGAAAATGACTAAGAATTAGAGCATTGTATTTGTCCCGCCAAGGGGAAATGCAAAGTACGCTAACGGAGGAAGAATGGAGAAAAAAAGAGGTCTGCGATGTGGTGCTGGGAGGGAAAGTGCAGGACAGTTTGAGTTGGAAAGGAGCAGTGTGTAGAACAACATTAAATATGCATATGGACATTACGTCAAAGCTGGTAAAAGGTGCTGCAGTGGGGACGCCTGACAAACGTCGATCACAAAGACAGTTTATCTCTGGAATATTCAATAAGGCTGAGAATGTGTTGAGCCCTATGTGAAAAATGTGTTGTCTTGTTTTAATATAGTTCTTTTATTAGAATGGAGTGGAGAGAGGCTGCAGGTGTAGGAAACAGAGCAGATGGTGCTACTGTGTGACTGTGTGTCTCTGTGTGTGTTTCCACAGTGAAGAAAGCCAAGCTGGATGGACCCCAAGGTGAGAATCAGGAGAGACACAGACCCTTTTATGTTCTTTCATTTGTTTTTATAAAGATTTCAATACGGCCAAACTGTACTCAAGGTTCTTCTCGGACTTTATGAAACGTGCTAATAGGGAAAATAAAGGAACTTAGAAGCCTCATTGAAGACAGTGTGGGCATTCTGAAGGATTTTAACAATAACATGATAGACTCGCTCCGTTATGTCCCTGTTCTCACCCTTTTACACCCCTCTAAGCAAATCCTGAGTGTGTAAGTGTAGATGACAGAAAAGATCAAGAGTTTTGAGGATTTTGCTAATGTGAACAATGATTTCAATACTTACTCTTACCAGAGTTGATTTGTACACTATTATCTATGCTTTTACTTCTACCGAGAGTACCAGACCAGACCAGTTCTTTTGCCCCTTCTGTCTGTACATCTTTTAAACCCTTAAACACGTTGCATGTATTTACCAACACTTTCTCTCCTCTACAGAGAAGTTCAACACTTATGTGACACTGAAAGTACAAAATGTGAAGAGCACAACCATCGCTGTCCGGGGCAACCAGCCCAGCTGGGAGCAGGACTTCATGTTGTGAGTGCTGCACACACACGCTCATACTATCAAGTATTCCTCTTACAGTCACTTTGGCACTTTTCTGCTCTGCATACCCCAAGAATATTTCACATGCTCCAGGATCAAACTCATTCTGATCCGAGGCACAACTGTTTGTAGGCTATACGGTTATACCAAGGGAAAGTTTGTGTACTTGTGAACACATCTTTTACATCTTTTGATTATTTTATTATTATTGTTCATAAAATATGTATGATTTGTCTTTAATTTAAAAATAAGTACATGACCAAAACGTGGTCCAAAATTGGACCAAAAGTAAGAAAGGCTTGTTATTACAGATTAATAGAGCAAGTGTTATTATTCTGGGTTTAAGAACATTTCTTGAGAGAAATTGCCTAAAAATGATGTATAACATGCCATAGTAGCACACAGACACTAACCTCTTACTAAGAATGTTTGCATGTTTTGAAAAAAGAAATCAAATATCCTCTGTAAAACCCCAGAGTACCCCAAGGGGTCTGCACTCCCCTGGTTGGGAAGCACTGACTTGCTGGTCTTCGTGGCAGTTAGAGCTGCACCCAGTGCTCACAACACCAGCCCCTTGTTGGTCTCGTTCACTTTAAATGAACTTTGTCTGGTTCCTTTGGTTCCTTTGCTTTACCTCTGGATGTAAAACCACCAAACACGTGAACATATGTCATCTGGTCACTTAAGTCACTGTGAAGCAAGTTCCCAAGTGAACCACACTGGGTCCAGTTACAGCGAACAGTCCGAGTGTGACCGTGCCCTGAGCTTCTCCTACAGTCTCTGTTTCCAGTCTCCGCTCTGCGTTCTTGCCTTCTCTGGTCCCTTCAGCTCCAGTCCTACACGTTTATCTTGCTCATATCAGCTCCCGAGTCCTTTTCCCTCCTGAGCCTCATATTTGCATCTACACGGACACACAGCTTTAGGGCTTTTTGTTAATTTAGCAATAGTTATTTCCAGCCTCTACTATTATGTGAGTCCTTTTTGTTTGAGCTGACAGTGCAGCGGTTTATGCGTAATAGTAATGTTGAGTATCATTGAGCCTGTGGGATGCAGCTAACGGCGCTCATGTTTGGGGGCGTAGAGCTCTGTACTGGCCTTGCATCAGTCAGCCCAATGTTATGCAATGTATTGTTTATGGACAGCAAAGCTCACTCCCCTCCCTCAAACAGACTGGATGAAGCATGAATCAACCATGTATTTGTTTAAAGTCACCAGGAGGAAAATCCAGTCCTGTGTTCCTTAATTATGTCTTTCCCTCGAGGCCCGCGATGCAATCACTCCTCCGATGCATTCGTCACACTCTTATGCATATCTCTTTCACTCCCACTTAGTACTCTCTTGGTAATGCTCTGGGATTGATACGCAATTATTTAAGCCCAAAGATTTACAACTCTTTTCTGGATATTCAAGCTTATGCATTACACGATTTGAAATGTTTAAGTTGGCTCGACGAATGGATTTGTTTGATATTGTGGTTCATTTCAACAGATGCATTAATATAGATTGCTGACCATTTTCTCTTTAACCTTTTCAAGATGGCTCAAAATGTGTTGAAGATGGTATCAAGGAAATTAAAACTTATTAAAGCGTCTTTGAATGTCCAAAGAATGTCTGTATTTTACCGATACATTATTAAAAATAGTGATTTAAGATTCAAGAATTTATGTGCCATTTGCAGTAAAACCACATTGGAAAAACTGTGCAAGACCACCATCTTCACATCTAAACAACTCTATATTTTGGCCTCAATTTTGGACTGAACTGTAACAAAATTTGGATTTGCATAAATTGGTCAAACATATCAAATATTTTGGCAGACAATCTTTAAATATTTTCCCCTCGGTTTTAAGTGCCTAACCTGGCAAGAGCCAGATTGATGATTGTGTAGAACTCTAATGCGTTCTCCACAATATCAATCTGGGACTTCTGCAGGAGAATCCTTTCGGGGAAAGGAGGGATAAGCAGCAGAATACTTCAAGCTGATTGGGCGAAGTGATGCTGTGTGCCCGCCTACTAAAAATGCACAAACATCTTTGCCGTCCAGAAATGCCCAAAGCGCCTCTCGCTGTTCATCTTTCAAAAAAGAAATTGGAGATTCTGCTAAAACTGACTTGATAGCCTCAGCTACGCGTCCGTGTTTGTTTTACTTCGGCCCGGCACTTCTTGCTTTCGTCAAACCCGGATATCCCGCCCTAAACCCCCAGACTGGCGCGTGATTGGCTTGAACACCTAGATGTTGTACTCGAAAAGGGTTGGCGGGAGCGGGGCAAGATGTATTCTCGAGTGTTTGTGAACTCACAAATACCGCGAGAATTCAGCTTGCAGGCAAGGTAATTAAGTGCCCAGAGCAATAATCAATTTCTATACTCAACATTGCTATAGACAGTATTCTTCTTTTCATTTTCATTCATTGTACATAATATATCTTGCGCAAAAGAGACTATATTTTAACCTTTTAACATGTTTGCACACCCTGAGCGATTCTATTTACATTTCTCCATTGTGAGATCAATAAATTTTATCTTATCTTAAGTAGCTTGTAATATAAAAGCATTACGGCCACATTATCAGTGAGTTTTGATTACCACCTCTCTGTGCAGTGAAATAAACCGGCTGGACCTGGGCCTGACTGTTGAAGTATGGAACAAAGGAATGATCTGGGACACAATGGTCGGGACCGTGTGGGTTCCGCTCAACAGTATCCGACAGTCCAACGAGGTACACAACAAATGACCACGGTTACACTGCACTGATGCTGAGTGTATGGTGAAAAAGGTGTTACAATTAATGGATAAGATCAAGGTAGAGTTCAGGTTGTAGAATTGAATTTCAGTTGGAGAGAAGGTGCTGTTAGACCTCTACAGGAAAGACGCATTGTTTTAAAGAAATGTCCAAAAAGATCATTATTTGATAGTGTTGAGATTCACAAACCCATTATATTGTTTTGATGTCTGAAAGTTTTTCTACTGGCTAACCTCATGCATATGTTTTTAATACGTTTACCACTTTTAGACACCTTTATGAGAGAATTATTAGAACATAATTGATATGCACTGACAAAAAAACGTTTAGTTTCATGTGGATAGATCTAAGTAGTTGCTCTAAACTAAAACTTATCACCGTTATCATTGGAAAGATTTAGGAAAGTTACATAATACAAACGATACAGCCAAGGAAAACCTGGAAAAGTCATAGAATTTAAACATCTACTGTCTAGGGCCTGGAAAAATGGGGAGGTTGATTGGTTTTTGAAATTCAGGTGCTTATTAGTTCCAAAATGATATATCTTTGTGAAATGTCAAGAAGGCAGGTTTGCAGAAAAATTAGATTTGTAGTTTCCCTAAAAACTAAATTTGAAAAGTCTTGAGCGAGGTCTTGAAAGTCCCTTCACCAAACCTGGAGCGACCCTGTGATTGAATACCTGTGTTTGTCGTGTTGACAGGAGGGTCCCGGAGAGTGGCTCACGTTGGACTCTCAAGTCATAATGGCCGACAATGAGATCTGCGGCACCAAAGACCCCACTCTGCACCTGGTGCTGCTGGACTCACGCTTCGAACTTCCTCTGGGTAACAGCACTAATCCATCACTCTACAGCGTACAGTCACATCAGACCGCGCTCACGAGGTCAAATCTAGCCACTAGTAAGACTGGATTATGTGTGTATCGAGGTGTATTTCATTACTGTGCGTGTGCAATAGTGGTGTTTGTGCCTTTCTTCTCACCTTTCTGTTTGGAGCATTGATTCGGTCTCATTTTTCCACTGTTTCTTTTCTGGAGTCGATACAGCACACCTGACTCCTCGCTTTGCAGACTGGCCTATTTATAGAGGTCTCGCTCGAGTGCTCTTTGTGTAAACGCCAATTTTCAATGTCACAATGTTCTCCCAGAGATATTTGTGTTGCTAAAAAAGGCTTTTATGGTTTTCATCTTTGTGATCAAATGGCACTGTAAAGTATTTTAGGCTCCGGGCCTTTTGTGTATGAGCTGTTTTAATATGGTCTGTAATACTTAGATATCCCTGAGGATGAAGCACGCTACTGGGCCAAAAAACTGGAACAGATAAACGCCATGAGGGACCAAGATGTAAGGTTTCAAAATACTTAAAGATTATTATTCATTTGAGGAAAAGTATAAACATACCTTCCACTAATACATGTGATATCTCACTCTCAGTATTCCTACCAGGAAGAGCAGGAGCGGCCATTACGAATGCCAGGAAGCCAGTGCTGTAAGTAACTAATCAATTAATGTTTTGTGTCACAATGAAATTACCTTTGAGTACTTAACTTATCTGAGGAATATGTGTATTACAGCTTGTGTGTATACTGACACCTCAGCTCTACACTGCACACGATCAATACTAGTATCATGTATCCAATGTTTAGTTTCTGCTGAAATGCTTCTCCATGGTCTGCTATCCTGCTGAGCAAGCGGTCTGCAGGGTAACGAGAGGCCTGGTGTGCTCTCGTCTGTCATTAGTTTAGAAAACTTTCAAAAGGATTCGGAAGAAAAGTATAAGAGTTTGTGAAATCTTACCACTTGTCTGTGATTTGTTGCAGGTAACTGGAGCCTATGGGGAGACCAGCAAAGTAAGTGGGACCTGTGTTGTCATCACGTTTACAGTGATTAGCAGATGGTGTCAGTGTATTAGCCATGCTGAGTAAATGTAATAAGTGGAGCTAAAGAGCTGAGAGCACAACAGAATGAAGGCTGTGGATTGTGGCGACATGCTCCAAGTGAGAAACAGTCCATTTCATTTAATTAATGTTTTCCCACCCACACAGAGGGAAGGCATGGCCTGTCCTCTATCACAGAGCCTGATGACGGCACTAGTGAATAAGAGGATCTGATCCTTTGTCATGTTTACCTATGATGACCGAGACATGTGACAAGGGAAAGTGTTTCCTGTATGAAGGACTGGATTGATGTGCATTATGGTGAGGGAGATATAGATGCACTCTGTTTGACCTATTGTATTCTCTTGAAGAGCTGGTCCCTGGCAGGCTGCCAGCTCATCTATATCAACCATTATAACTGTACTAAAAGATTAGTTCACTGCTGATAAGGGCCTCTTATCATTCGATCGCATGACTCACAGGCCACCAAGATCATTCCCTTTTCCCTTTCTATCCCTTCTATGTTCTTTACTTTTAGTCTGATTTGACACATAATTCTACCATATCATTTACAAAACTTAATCCACGATAGAGATGCTCACCATAATCATACAGAAGCAAAAAATGTATAGGCTCAAACCTAGAACCACTAAAACCAGCGTGTATCTCAGCGAGTGGAGAGACTTTTTGGAATGAACTTGCCGATGAATTAAAAATATGTTTAAAACTTTGTCAATTTAAAATATCTTTTACAAAAGAATAGAAGTACCAAAGAAGTATTGGAGAAAGGAGAGTGATGCATGGCACAAGTGAGGGGAGGGAGGGGTATGGTCAGGAAGTGTTTGTGTCTTTTACTGTGTGTGTGTATTTTGTGTTTGTGTTGTATAAGTAAGAACCAAACGAGCAACTGCTTCGTCCAACCCCTTTTCAAACATGCTTCATTTGTATCCTGTTTGTGTTTATTTTAAATAAATATTTTGATTGGTAGATTGATCATTTTTTGATGTTTGTGTCTTTGCAGATGACGACCAAGACAGCGCTGTTGACGACAGAGACAGCGACTATCGAAGTGAAACAAGTAACAGCAACCCTCCTCCTTATTATAGCACATCTCAGCCCAACGCCTCTGTCCACCAGTATCCCATCAACAACCAGCACCGCAGCTCCAGGAGTTACTCCTATCCACGCTCCGGCAACAGCCAAGACCCGGACTACCACCACCAGAGGACGGTCAGGTAGGAGTCTGTGCTCACAGACTGTTATAGGAGCAGTTTTAATACTGTATGTACAGTATGGGCCCGCTTCAAACAACAGAGGAAATGTGGATCTCACCACTTCACGCTTTGTGCATTATAAACCACTCAGCACGGAAGCTGAGTGAGCACTCTCGATCTTGGCAAGGACATCCTGGGTTCGATTCCACGTCCAGCAGGGCCTTTGAGTGGAGTTTCCATGTTCTCCTCATGTCTGCATTGGTTCTCTTGCATTGTTAGTTAGATACTTTATTGATCCCTCGTAGGATAAATTCAGGTGTCCAGTAGCAGATAAAACACATCCATCCACACAAACAAACCAAATAAATTGATCCAATTGATTCTAAAAAGCTAACAATAGTAATAATAAGAAACAGCACTGGTACAATAGACATCTGGAGATCTTCCGGGGGGCAGTATTACAGTTAACACGGCTCCTGACAGAAACCCTAGTGGCATTGGAGGATGGGATGGGCCTATGGGGGATACATCAAGTTTACCTTAACCTCAATCTTCTTTATTTTGCTGGTCTTTTGAGGTTAATCCTTGACATTCGTTTGAGATGTGTGAACATAGTAGATGGTGTAACATTCTAGTGGCCCTTGTTTCTGATGTCGTCTCTGTTTAATGGAACCATTCATCAAAAAGCATAAATATCACTTTAGAGGCTCTTGCAGCGTCTTCTGTTGCCACTTTTCCATTTTACTAGAATGTTTTCTGAAAAGAACATGATAGTAATTAACAAAGTAATTTCCAAGCCTAGTGGTACATTGATGGATTAGGCTGTGCGTCGTTTCTCTGCTCAAAGCTTTACAGTACAGCCAATGAGTCTGTTGGTTAGTTAATCCTAAATGAGATGGAATTAGATAGACTGAAAACAATGATCACACAGATTATTGTTACTAAATCATGATTATGCAAACAAGTTTTTTTCATTGGCGAAAGTGTGGAGGCAGAAAATGACAACAAACTGGAATAAACATCAAGTAAAATCTAAAACACTCTTGAAATACATAAATGATTTCTTTCACAAAACTAAAATATCAAATTTTCAATACTAACAATACTGTAATAAGTATTTTATTTTCTAAATACATTTTTAATAACACAGTGATGCTTTAAAGGGGAAACTCTGAAACTTCCATTGTATTTCATTTTGAGAAATACATATATTTTTGACCATAAGACCCTGTAGTATCATCTATTTTAAGTATTTTCCATTGAAAAATATATTTAAAACGGTCTCACCCCTTGGAATGAACATCACCAGTAAGATTTACTGGAGGTGGGTCTAACAGTGGTGAGTTCAGGTGGTTAGAGAAGTGTATACAGATTGTGGTTTTAATGCCCAAAAACATACAGCTGCTACTTTGAGGATTTTTCCACAATGCATTTTGCCACAACGTTATATACTGTAGCTGATTTTGCGTTATAGATCTAAAAACTGATCAGAAATACCCATTTGGTCCTGAGGATGTGTCATTGTTTTTGTATCAACACTTGCTTAAATTATTATTTTGTTTCCATAGTAGCTGTAGAATCAATTCATATTGATACGTTTAACAACCCTAATAAATCTGTGTCCAATGTATTAACTACATTTTCAAACTTCACATTTTCACTGATGCCTCACTTTCCTTGTTCATTGACCTTCTGATGTTTTCGCCTTCAGCCCGACCGGGAGCTACGCCTCCTCTGCAGAGCTCAGCCGCTGCAGCAGCCAGTTGAGCGAGGAGGACTACGGCGGCGAGTACGGCGAACGAGACCCGTACGATGAAAACGACTCGTACCACTCGTGCCACTCGTCCGTCAGCTACAGCAAAGGCTCCCCAGACTGGGACGAGACTCAGGCTGCGTACAGCGACGAAGGCGGCTACAGCAAAGACGGAGGAGAAGACACCGCTCTGTACGAGGAGGAGGACGGGGAGCTGTACGAGGAGGGTCTGTACGAAGACGACGAGATCATGTACGACGAGGAGGATTTGTATCAGTTAGATGGCACTCTCAGCGAGGACATGGAGCCTCCGTTCACCCCCACGCCAACAATCACGCCGCAGCACTCTTTGGACGTTCCCAGCTCCAGACCGCCGCTGGAAAAGCAGTCATCCATCAACCAACAACAACCACCGGCTCCACACGCAAATCAAACCCAAAACCAGACGCATCCGGCAAACGTGCCCCCCGCGACGCAGCCGACTCCAACCGCGGCGCAACAACCCAAACAGCCGCAAGCCCAGCCACAGCCCGCACCAGCTGCCACATCCTTCTTCTCTATGGCCAAACCGTTTACGTCCGCCGTCACCGGATTGGCCTCGTCGTTCTTATCCTCGGTCCCGACACCGCAGCCGACGCAACCGCCCGCCTCAAACATGTCGCAGCAGAAACCCGCGGCGGCCAGTAGTCTTCCCCCGTCGCACCCGGCCACCGTAGGGACCCCGCAACCGGCGAGTCTGAGCCAGGAGCAGGAAATGAGCGGCTCTCAGGTGCCACAGACCGGCACAGAGGCCACGATGCCCGCGGAGCACACACTGACGGAGGAGGAGGCCCTGCAGCTGGAGCAGGACGTGTGGAAGGAGGAGGAGGCGATGAGGATGGAGGAGGAAGAGGTCAGGACGCCTCCCCCGCTGACGGAGGAGGCAGCTCCCACAGAATCGATGGGAGAGGAGCAGAGGGACGAGAGCCGGCCGCCAACACCTGTGGAGGAGGAGAGACCTGCAGAGAGGTATGAGGCCCACTTTTAAGGGTATTTTATTCATTCATTATTATTATAGTTTTTAAAGAGGTATTATGCAGGATTTTGGAGGATTTCAGATTTCAAACCACACTCATCCACATTGTAGTAGGAGCACGTTTCCATGACAACGCAACAAGTGAGAGCACTTCAGGAGGAGGGCGATATTCTCTCCCAGGTTTTGTGGTAGACCGTTTACACGCCAGAGAGCTTACGTCTACCTTAAGTCCATACCATAAGTTACTGCCCACAGTGAGACAAAAGCAATACATTTCTGATATTTGAAAAGTGAGGTACTCCAGATGTATTTTTTGGTTATTTTAAAGTTAGACCCCCCCGGCTTTAATTACAGATGAGCCTACATTGGGTCAGCTCTCCTTACTGCAGATATGACTTATAATGTAGCCCAGTGAAGTGTCTTGCTTGAGAAATATTATCAGCCAGGAATGTTGAAGAAAGTACATCACATTTTAACCCAACACACATCTGATCAAACTGAAACATCGTAAATGTTATGTTAGTTAAATGCAGGACAATACAAGAAAAAACATGCAAAAAGGAAAAAATAGAGTAAAACAACGACAAAGAAAGACTGTCTAAGAAGAGAATCCTCCATTTCACATCGAGTGCCTGTTTAACTTATGCTTCAGGGGTTTCGTGTTAAAATGGCGCTAGAATAAATAAATACATTTTTATATACTGCCTTGAGCAAGTGTACAGTATTAGACAACATGTTACATTCAGAATCAAGATCACACCAAAACATTTCACATCCTGAGACATTGTCGAGATGTTACGGTAGACTTCTTTAGCAGGAGTGAAAATACAGCATCGTTTCCCCGCAGTGTTCCCGTTGTAGAGGAGCCCAAAGAGCCTGTGGACCCTGCTGTCAGAGCCAAAGAGAACTGGCTGAGACTCTACAACAAAGTTTTAGAGCAAATCCGTGAGGTAAGTCGTCGCTCGTCACCGTTTTTTACGAAGCTCTCGCACAGAAAGCGGAGGCTGCAGCTTTTGAGTCGTGAGTTGTGCTCAAAAGGTCTTTGAAAAATGCATGTGTGTTGCATAATTTATAATGATAGACGGCACATACACTGGGTTCTATTTTGATAGTACTTTAGGCGAGCGTTCTAGACACCGGAAAGCTTTCCTAATGCTCTCCGTTTTGTATAATTCATAGTGTCTCTTTTCAAACACATGTTATCACAGGAAAAATAATGATTGTTGGTTTTAGTCACAGGTTAATTTACATTCATTGACTTTTGTTATGCTATAAATACTCATTTGTTTCATTGGTTTTTGTATGTATTTGTCGATATATAATTTGTGTACACATTTTCATTCATCTTTTATGTTTTGCCACATGACTTTTCTTTGCAGTTTTATGTTTTTGCCATTGTGAAACTCATGCACTTTGCTCGGGCATCACCAGAGTTTGTTGAGAGGTAAGTGGGAATGTACATGGACAAAACATACGATAATGACAAATTAGATTGATATTTACGTAATTTCATCAGACTGGTGCCTGATGTGTATTTTTTGTGTGATACACATATAAAATAACTAAGACATTAAATAACTATTTATGTGCCAAAGTAATAGAATGACTTTCCATAGACTTCACACAAAGTAAAAAAAAAATAAAAAATCAGGCATAGTTTTCTTCTGTTAGTGATTTTAGTAGTTGTTCATATTTTCTAAAGGTTCAGGGCTCCACCTTTTGTCTGTTTCACGTGAAATTTCCCAAAACCTCTGGTGCCTATTGTGCCTAAAAATATATGAAAACACGAAAAGGCTTCTTCTCTCTGCATTGGAATTACAGATCATACTTTTGCTTGTTGCAGGCTCGAGGAGAAACCTCCAACTCGCTGTGGTTCGGTAAAGGAGGGTAAGTATTATAACTTTCGTAGTAATTTTTTTAGATTTAACATTGCACAGTGAGAGGGAAGCCCTCAGAAATGTGGCACTCTGTCCTGACTGAATGCACCGGTCTATCCCGGGAAGTCTCTGTTTGGCTGGTTTCGGATGGGGAACTTTCTTATATGGCATTTGGCCAGTCTGTATCGAGCGCTGGTGTTTTAGAGCCAGAGCAGGTCACTTTGGAGATGAGGAAAGCCTCCTGTAAGGCTGCGTACGGAAAGTTGGCCAGAAATAAACCTAGCAATTACTCCGATATGAGGAGCATCACTCACACAGGAAACCTTTGTGAAATAGTTCTTTGGCAGACGCCCTTGAGAAGGCAAGAAGGCAGCACATCAGATGAATTTTAACTACACTAATGCCATCATATTAGATTATCCAAAGTTACAGATTTGGTGTTTGTGTTTAGAATGGGCGGTGCGCTCTACAGTATCGACAGCATGCCCGACCTTCGGAAAAGGAAAGCTATTCCACTGGTCCGAGATCTGGTGAGAAAATCTACATACAGGTTTTTAACATTATAGTGAGCTTATTGAATGTGATTAATTCTGTTTCACTTTGCTTCTCTTTGCTGCTCGTCGTGATGCCCCAGGCCATGGTAAGAGCTGTTACATTTGTATTTATTGCAGGCCTGACCAAATACTTATCTTCTGATCGATTTGTCGACTAAAATACTTCAAAACAATTTAAAGCAAAATCAAGGCATAAAATCACTTGAATATTTAGCAATTATGAAAATATTAAAGAAACTGCGTGGATTTCCTCAAAAGCCTTAGTCGACTAAAACATTATTCTGTATACCAAACGACTAAAGATCGACAGCCCTATTAGTTACCATTTTTTGCAATAACAACTGTGTTTTTCGGTTCAGTCTTTGGTTCAGAACTCCCGTAAAGCAGGCATTACTTCAGCCATGGCCTCCACCACTCTGGGCAATGAAGACTTGGTAAGCTCAAAAATAGCCGTTAGTTAAAATACTGTATGACACAGATTTTGAGAAATAGCAAGCTCACCTGTTTCCATTGTGTCTTCCTTCACTGCATCTGTAGAAGAGCCACGTTTATAAGAAAACTCTCCAGGCTCTCATCTATCCCATCTCCTCCACAACGCCACACAACTTTGAGGTGTGGACGGCCACCACTCCCACTTACTGCTACGAATGTGAGGGTCTGCTTTGGGGCATCGCTCGCCAGGGGATGCGCTGCTCCGAGTGCGGGGTCAAGTGCCACGACAAGTGTCAAGACCTGCTCAATGCCGACTGTCTGCAGAGTAAGACATAGACGCTCACATCCCACATTCATGCTACTACTTCTCAGAGCTTGGACATGACTAGGCTTGTAACGTTAATAGACAATAATCGATTAATCACATTCAATTCAATGTATTCTTGTATAGCCCTGAATCACAACAGTAGTGATCTCAGAGGACTTAACAAAACTGTTGAATTCGCCAACACAAAGTAGTTCAAACAAAAGAAATGCAAATATAAAAACACATAGAGCCATTGGTCCATAGGGGCAGATGACCACTGTCCATAAATGTCCATAGATGTTGGACTCAATCATTTATTGAAATAGTTAATGCCTTTAGTACTCAAAACCCATCTGTTCAGACTGTCCTACCTCAACCTACCACACACGCACCCACCTTTTAAATAAAATGTATTATTATTATTAGTATTATTATCATTATGACTATGATGGTAAATTTACTGTAGAATGACATGGACTTATAGAAAAATCTCATCAAAATCTAAATAATAGTCTCTATGAATATGTTCTTAAGTGGCGCTTTAGCTTTATTTTCAGATTCAGATTCATTGGAAAAACTGTGCAAGACTACCCCAGTGTGCACCACACACACCAGAGCTCTTGCCACGGCGCCATCTTTACGGCGCCATGCGGCATTTTGGTGAAATGTATTTAAAAAAAACAATGAATGCAAGAATAATTTGCCCACTATTTGATTATCATAAAAATTGTTCATTAGAGCCCTACATATATGACTTTAGTGAAAGGGCCACTGTGGAATTTATCGGTCAAACATGATGGAACTGATTCTTCTACTGCTTAACCCCTTGAGACGGGTTCAACTGGATTTTACTCCAGCAAAAAATTTGGGGAGTTTCTGTGTAGAGACTGTTCCTATTTAAAATCAGTAAATGATTCGACAGGGACCGTTTCTTTGTGCTCCAAAGGGTTCTCAAACAAATGTAATTTTTTTAGGAATTTTAAAGGAAAAGGTTGGTGTAGTAAGGGTTTAAAAGTGAAAAAAATCCCTCTACAAAAAAAACGTAAAGCACACCATCATTCTTGTCCTTTATCCGTTCTTCTCCTCCCTCTTCCGCTCTCATTAATCTCCTGGGTAATGTACTGTCATAGAGCTGCCTCTCTCTCTTATGGCCTTTGCATTCAGACGGCTTTTTCTAATTCTGCTCCACAAGGGAAGACTTAGATCCCATACTGATTTCACAGTCAATGCAGCTTATGTATAATTCATTGGTTTCATGCCTCTAAAGACTCTTGGAAGATCTGCTCAGGAAACAGGCGCTCTCTGATCTCAGCTACTTCATTTTTGACAAAACCAGTGACAGTATTTGCTCTGTTTTTAGAATTTTGACATGAAAATTGCTTTCATTAATAGGAGCCGCAGAGAAGAGCTCGAAGCACGGAGCAGAGGACCGAACTCAAAATATCATCATGGTCCTCAAAGACCGGATGAAGATTCGTGAGAGGAACAAACCAGAGATTTTTGAGCTCATTCAGGAAGTGTTTGGACTGGACAAGACCACACACGGGGGACACATGAAGCAGATTAAACAGAGTGTGCTGGACGGGACTTCCAAATGGTCCGCAAAGATCAGTATTACAGGTAAACGGAATGTGGAACATATTTGTTTTGCAGAGGTGGCAAGGGTTTTTCTCCTGGCATCAGGACTTTTCAGTCAACTTTTTACTTTTGTTTATTCATTTATTTCAAACCTGCAGATATACTACAAAGCTTGTTCCGCTTGGTTTGAAAAGGAGATCATGGAAGCTTACGCTTATATAAAACCACCCCCAGTCCTTACTTTTAACCCCAAATAATTGCATTGAATGAAATTTCATTTCAATGAAGAACTGTCAATGGAATGTCTGCATTAAACTTTCTGCGGGGTCGGTTTATAGACTATAAACAAGGGCCTGAGTCGAGTACTTTTGCCACCTCTGCTTCTTTGTGTGAAGCCCACAGTTGATCAAATGGTGTGTTTTAGTTGCATGTGCGCAGGGATTGCAGGCAAAAGATAAAACTGGCTCCAGTGACCCATACGTCACTGTACAAGTGGGAAAGACCAAAAAGAGAACGAAGACCATCTACGGCAACCTCAACCCAGTCTGGGACGAGTTCTTTCACTTGTGAGTGCGAGTTTTATTCTGGGGAACTATCCCATGTAAGGAGTTTCCGTTCCTCATTCTTGTTTTGTGGCTGTTTCAGTGAATGCCACAATTCAACCGAGCGCATCAAGGTCCGAGTTTGGGACGAAGACGACGACATCAAGTCTCGAGTCAAACAGAGGTTTAAGCGCGAAAGCGACGACTTCTTGGGACAGACCATCATCGAAGTGCGCACGCTCAGCGGAGAGATGGACGTCTGGTACAACTTGGGTGAGTTCTACTCAAAGATAAAGGCTGTAAAAGATTGAACAGGGAGATTCTCACAACAAGATGCTTTTCTAAAATCATAACGCTGCTGTATGCAATAGTGAGAGTTACATATTTGAGTTTATATAACCAGGTTTACAGAGACGTGGAAGCTTCTTGAATTGATGTCCACAGAAACAAGAAGTGGGACACATAAATAAAAGTGAATCCTTAAAATGATTTACATTCCATTTAATTTCAGTTATTAAGGGAAACAGCATTATAGAACTTCTTAGGCGGAAAAATAAGTTTGTATTTTAGCGTTTGTCCTCATAGTGACTCAGTGGCTGTAAGAGTGGGCTGCATGGTGCCTTAACTTTTGATCATGGTTGTGTCTCTGGTGTTCCAGGATCAATTGTTTTGTAGGTTTTTGCAGGATGCAGGAGTCCCAGCAGAAAACCTTCCAAACAATTAATCCTAATCCTATAGCATCTTAGAGGCCACTGTGATTAAGAGACCACGCTGATCACTCATACAGCCACAACAGTAGAGACTTAAATAGAAACACAGCGATATAATGGAGGTCAGTTCACAAGAAAGTCTGGGGTCGGTGACAATTTGTTTTAATTTATTTTTTATTTAACCAGGAAAAATCCCATTTAGTTTAAGAATCTCTTTTTCAAGGGAGTCCTGGCCAAGAGGCAGCAAAGTCACACATAAACACAAAAGACAGATACAATTACATTAAAACAAAAATTAAAAATGACAGGTATACAGACTACACACATCAAGTAAAACATTTATACGTGATTGAGGCCGTCTCGAAAACTCTTTTGATTTAAAAGCATTCGAAGACAAAAGCTCGGTTAGCTTCCAGTCTCGCTGGAGCATGTTCCAAGCAGAAGGAGCTGAATGGACAAAAGCTCTTTTTCCAAACTCTGTGGACAAAAGGCACAGTAAGCAACAGCTGCTCATTAGACAAATGGTGGACTGCCGTTGACTCGTAGGCCACAGCGTGCACATTTCAGATCCAACATTTGCGTCACACACAGCTGTATAAAGCAGTAACAAAGGTAAACTGACTTGATGAAGCAGAGGGGCCACCAGCCGAGAATCTGTTGTGCAGTTTTGAAGTCAATGTTCTTGTTTGTAATTGTGTTTTACCGTGATGCTTGAAGTAAAAAAAATCTTGTGAGAATGATGGTTTTAGTTTGATGATGTTCTTTTCTATGACAGACAAAAGAACTGACAAATCTGCTGTTTCTGGAGCTATCCGGATGCACATAAGTGTTGAAATCAAAGGCGAGGAGACTGTGGCACCCTACCACGTGCAGTACACCTGCCTACACGAGGTCTGATCATTGGGGACTTCACAAATCACTTCCATTCTGTGTGAAAATGAACTCTTACATGTTTGTTTTGTGATTAGCATCTGTTCCAGTACACCACAGAGGACCAGAACAGCGGCGTGGTCAAAATCCCAGACGCCAAAGGAGACGATGCGTGGAAGGTGTATTTTGAAGAGACGGCTCAGGAGATCGTGGATGAATTTGCCATGAGATACGGAGTGGAGTCGATATACCAGGCTATGACGTGAGACCCTAAAATACCTCCTTTATGAAATGATTACAACCATACTCTTGTTAAACTTTCATGGAGTAGAGGATTTCATCTTGTTTTTATGTGCACTCGCAGTCACTTTGCCTGCTTGTCCTCCAAGTACATGTGCCCTGGCGTCCCTGCAGTGATGAGCACGCTTCTCGCCAACATTAACGCCTACTACGCCCACACCACACAGGCGTCCAACAATGTCTCTGCTTCAGACAGATTCGCTGCCTCCAACTTTGGTGTAAGAAAATTACAGTTAATGTTTTGTGGGGAAGTTAGAATGTTTGAAAAAGGAGTTAGCCTCAATGGCCTCTAGCTGTTAATAAAACTCCTCCTGCTTGGCTTGTTCTGTTGACGCACCTCACAGTCTTGTCGTAGTCACACACTGCGGGACTTTTAGTTGTTAATGGACTTTATTATGGAGAAAATACTCTCATTTGTGTATCTACAGAAGGAGAGGTTTGTCAAACTACTGGATCAGCTGCATAACTCGCTCAGGATTGACCTGTCCATGTACCGGGTGATTATTTTTTCCATATGTTCATGCTAATCTCTTCTTTATATTTACATACAGCCTCCTTTTGTTTTTGATGACTCAAATTTTCAAATTGCTTTGTATTTCCTTACAGAATAATTTTCCTGCCAGCAGTCCTGAAAGACTACAGGACCTCAAGTCCACTGTTGATCTGCTCACAAGTATCACATTTTTCCGAATGAAGGTACACTTAAAAAAAAATAAAAAGCCATATATGTTTATATATACATTTTTGTATCCGTTTTTATACAAAACAGTTTGTATATACTTCCTGTACCTCTGGCACTTTTGGGGGAGATGCATGTCATTATTGTGAACAAACATCAGGTGAGAGCAGAAACAATAGTGTTTCTTTTGCCTTTAGGTCCAGGAGCTGCAGAGTCCGCCCAGAGCCAGTCAGGTGGTGAAGGACTGTGTGAAAGCCTGTCTCAACTCCACATACGAGTACATTTTCAACAACTGCCACGACCTGTACAACAGGGAATACCAAACTGACCCAGTAAGACCACCACTGCGTGTTTTAATCAAACCAAGGCCGAGACTTACACTAGATTCAATTTAACGTTAGTTTGGAGGAAGATTGACGCATGACCTGCATTTGGCAACACTTCTATCTTTCTTAGAGGTTTTTTTTTTTTTTGTCTACATTTTTACATAATAAGACGAGATAATGTTTGCAAAGGAGCTGATGAATAAGTAATTACAGTAATAGAGCTATGTTTGTTCAAAGCTTCAATTTGAAACGGTCTCTGATATCTTGTACCCTTGTCCTGTGTCCAGTCAAAGGCTGTGCCTCCAGACGAGCAGGGCCCCAGCATCAAAAACCTGGACTTCTGGTCCAAACTAATCACTCTCATCGTGTCCATCATCGAAGAGGACAAAAACTCATACACACCATGCCTTAACCAGTGAGTGCACATACATACTCTACTTCTAATGCTCTGAAAACGATTCAAAAATATTTTACAGGGCACTTTTAGTATGAGAGCCAGATAAAATGAGTATTGCTCATTATGCAGATGTTTTGTATAATAGTCACTTATCCAAATCAGATGAAATACAAAAAACATAAAACATTCATCAATTATTCAAAACATCAAACAGGTCTGGCTCAGTTAAAAAGAAAAAGACAGTAGAGATCTACAGCAGGGAACCACATGCAGCACAAACCACACAGAGTCACACTTTCAGTCACAGGATCCATCCATCCATCCTCTCCCCCTTTGTCCATTTCTGGGTCCGGGGGGGGGGGGGGGGGGGGGGGGGGTGGTAGTCAGAGCTGCACCCATTTCACAGAGCCCCAGCCCACAGTCACAGGTTAAGTATCATTTTACTCTGTCTGAAAACATCTTTAAACAGAAAATGACAACAATCGATGAGGGGCAAACGATTCACATGACTGCCCAGACATGACTTACTTGAGTGAAGGAAAGATGTTAAAATGGAGCTTTCATGATTACATAAACTGGGTTAGGTTAATAAATAAAACAACACTAAACGCAGCTCTGTATTTAGTATTAAAGAGCTCTCTTCTGCCCCCTGCAGGTTTCCCCAAGAACTAAACGTTGGCAAGATAAGTGCAGAGGTGATGTGGAATATGTTTGCACAAGACATGAAGTACGCCATGGAAGGTGAGTTTGCACTAAGACGATGATCTTCTGCGAGATAACCACATGTGGCTTATTTGTCGATTCACAGAGCACGAAAAGAACCGTCTGTGTAAAAGTGCAGACTATATGAATCTGCACTTCAAGGTGAAATGGCTGTATAACGAGTACTGCAAAGAACTCTCCACTTTCCAGAAACACGTGCCTGAATATCCGGCGTGAGTGTTGGCCATACTTTCTGCTATGACGTGTGTGTGATAAAAAGCTCAACGAAACTTGTTTTGTAGTTGGTTCGAGCCGTTTGTGATCATGTGGCTGGATGAAAATGAAGAAGTTTCGCGAGATTTTCTCCATGGAGCTCTGGAGAGGGACAAAAAGGACGGGGTAAGTGCCTAATTAAACAGTTCACACATTGTGGCCATTCCTGCATGTGAAAGTCAGAGCCTGTCAGATCTATGAAGCTAAGAAAGGTAGGGCCTGGTTAGGACTGGGATAGGAGACCATTTGAACACCAGGTGCCATTGGGGGACCATTGGGGCTGCAGCTGTAATATGCCTAACTTTTGTTGTGTCCTTAGGCAAGAAAATTCACCCATATTGCCTAGAATGAGTCTGGTGTGTGAGTGAATGGTTTGTGGTCGGTGGAGGGGCTGATGGCACATACTGGTTGCCTCGCTTCTGTCAGTGTGTCCCAGGGCAGCTGTAGCTACAGTAGTAGTTTATCATCACTGTGTATGGAGTGAAAGAGAAAAGACAAAGTGTATTTGAGTGTCCAAATACTGCTATATAAAACCGATGGCCGAATGGTGGTGCAGTGGTTAGAGCTTGGGCTTCACAGTGAGATAGTCCTGCCTTCGAGTCCACCTCCAGACAGGGCTTTTCTGTGTGCAGTTTGCATGTTCTCCCTGTGTCTGCTTCGGTTTCCTCCGGGTTCTCCGATTTCCCCTACTATTTACAGCATTTACAAAGATGGACAACGAATACATATTATCCCAAGGCTACAATCCGGAGTGGTGTGTTCATTAACATGCACTGTCCCAGCCAATTAAACAATAAATACAATGAATAAATAGATGCATTATTTAATTGCACATAACAATGTGTAACATAGGATTCATCACTAAGAGCGGGTGGTGAATTGAGGCTAAAGTTAGAATTCTGTTCTGCTCACACTGCAATAAAGGAAAGGAGCTTAGACCCCCTACCTTCAGTAAAACTACATTTCGAATGCAAATCAGCAACTCACACCGTCCCGCTGACTCGGCACCTATTACACTGAGAAGAGAGGCTTGAATCCCACAAGGCAATCAATGCACACTCAATACCAAAAGTGAATGCAAAAATGTACGGCAGGGGATTGCCAATGCAATCCACATATTCACACAGTCGATACAAAGCAGCTGAAGATCCTCCCGAATCGTATGTCAGAAATCCTTTGGGTCCAATTACCGTCACCCCCGGCAGCCGCTGCTTTCCTGTGTCAGCAGAACAGCACTCCAGTCACATACCATAACAGCACTCTCTGCTGCGCTAATGGGACTGATACTCTGGCCCTGTTCCCCATCATAACCCGCTTAATGCGCACATCCACTCAAACAATATATTCTTGGGAACTTTTATCACTGGCTGATCTGCAAACCATATTTACTTTTTAGTCCATTGTCCTGTACCAGGTACAGTTTCATTCATAAAAACTTTGTCTCAAACCTGATGTGTGTGATGTGATTTTAATGAGATAATTTTGGAAAGTATATATACTTCATATATATATATATATATATCGTTTTTGTTGTATGTTATGTTATAGCTGGAGTCTCTCACTCTCGTGTCCTGTCTGTGCTTCAGTTCCAGGTCACGTCGGAGCACGCTCTCTTCTCCTGCTCTGTGGTCGACGTCTTCTCCCAGCTCAACCAAAGCTTTGAGATCATCCGCAAACTTGAGTGTCCAGACCCTCAGATTGTTGGAAACTACATGAAGAGATTTGCAAAAGTAAGAAATACAATGTGTTCTAATCTCACAGCGTGTTGCATTTGAAATATTGTCTGATCAAAACGCCGATATTTCTTCTTAGACCATTGGGAATGTTCTTCTGTCTTATGCCGACATCATTGCCAAGGAGTTTCCTAATCACCTCAAGAAGGAAAAAGTGGTAAGTACATAAATGACTTGCATTGTTTTTTGGTCTTTTTCCTTTGCTGATGCATTTATGGACATTGTCAACATACTGTATATGGACATTGGTCATCTGCTTTTTATATACCAATGGTTCTACATGTTTTTTTTAATCATTGTATTTCCTGTGTTTGAACTGTTTGATTTTACAGGGTGTTTGCGTCTTGAAAGTCTTATTAAGTATGGAATTTTGAAACACTGTTTTCCAGACCTTGAAAAATCTAGAATTTGAGGTGAAAGTCTTAATAAAGTATGGACAAAAATGTTTGGCAGAATTTTACAGTATGCTCAAAGGCTTTGTGAAATGAGAAATAGGAAGGAAGGCTATAAAAATATAATTTTACTAACTGATCACGTACTGCATTAGCATAATGGAATGATATCCAATAAACGCTTGCTTTTTTTTATTTTTGTGATGTCACCGCTAAGGTCTTAAAAAAATCCGTTTTAAAAAGTCTGGAATTTTAATTTGGAAAAAAGGCAAGCACCCTGTTCTAGACACATGTTTATTTCAGTTGGATTGTTACCAGTGCTGTGTCTATCTTTTACACTAATAATTGTGCAGAGGTTGTACTGCTCCAGAGTGAATTAGGCTGGTCTCATTAGCAGAAAGTGCTGTAGGCTGTAGAGGCCCGAGAGAGAAAGACCCTCAGAGGAGCAGTAATCACTGAAAACTCCCTGCTCTGTATCACCAGAAGCTGCGTGCCAAAAAAACACTAAAAACTTTGCCTGTTAATCTTGATTGACCATGGTTTAACCCTTAGGCAAGCACAAAGCCACAGAGAATACAGCGTAACCTTTCTGCTGTTCTGTCCTTCAGCCATGTATCATCATCAATAACATTCAGCAACTGCGGGTTCAGTTGGAGAAGATGTTCGAGGCCATGGGAGGCAAAGATGTAAGTGTTGAATCAGAAAGAGAACTTCTGGATTAAATGTTGTTTTTAACGTCATGTTTTTTTTTGTTTTAGCTCAATCCCGAAGCCAGTGATTTCCTCAAGGATCTGCAAAACAAACTCAATAACGTTATGGACGATCTCAGCCGTATCTTTTCTGTCAGGTTTGTTGCTCACATCACATTTGTTTGTTATTACGGACAGATTTGGTCTTACGTGTCTGTGTCTGCGTGTGTCTGTGTGTGTTTGTGTGTGGTCCCAGTTTCCAGCCGCAGATTACCGACAACGTGAGACAGATGGGGGACATCCTTGCGCAGGTCAAAGGACAAACTGTTCCAGCCAATGGGAGCGTTGTCCAGGAGGCGGACAACGTTCTGCAACCCATCATGGACTTCCTGGACAGCAAGTAAGACCTAAACATAGTCTTGTATGTTTGTCTCAAAACATACAATGTTGTGACTAAAAGCACTGCAACAAAACCTAGTAGTTGAATAGTTTAAATATTTAACCCTCAAGGCACCAAAGTAACAGATTGGCATCCCACAAAAATTGTATTGTTTTTGTTATTATGTTTTTTATTATATTAGGAAACAAAAGTAGACAGCCGGCATTTATTCACACGTTTCACACATTAAGGTTTTATTGTTAATACAAACACATGTACACAGGGGACAAAGGGGCGAGCAAATGCATTGGACAATCAGTCTGGTTTATATGGATCAAGGCAGTGAAATAATGAAACAATAAACACATTATTATTGACAAAAATAATGTTTGTCAATGATTTCAGGAAGTGAAATCTTTGACAAACATTCTTTCATTATTTGAACATTTGATGTGAACATTCTTGAGCCTTTTTACAAAATTACAATCTGGAAAAACTGAATTTTGATTATGTTAGATTTTGTTTTCCTCATTCAAAGTGATATTGTGCTTATCCTGTATATTAGAAATGAACTATGGCGAAATCAAAATTACAATAGGCTCTATGCACTGCACGCACCACTTCCGGGTTTTAGCTACAACCCCACCTCACTTCCTGTTCGCGGGAAACGGCTTGAGTTTCACTGGAGTTCAGCAGTGGTTTACACGGGTTTCCCAAATAATGCTCAAACTGGAATTAAACTGAAGATACTGGGCATTTTTGGGACACAACAGTGCTCTTTGATTGTGCTGTCATTGTGTTTTTATAAAGTTTAAAAATTGCTCTGGCCACAGTCAAAGCTCTACCTCTGAGAGAAAGCACAGCGACAGTTTTGGGTCAGTCTCACAGCTGAATGTATCAATCTAATTACTAAAAAACATCACTAAAACTCACCTAAATGCCATAGAATAGCATAGGCAGGAAGTGAACGGGCTGTTCTGGGTTAACAGGAAATGACGTCACGCCTCCCCGTGCATTTAGCCCATTAGTTCCTATTGTTTCTGGACAACATTGGCAAATCTTGTTTTTAGACTGACAAGATAAATTAAACCATAGTTTGACTTTTTTGTCCTTTTGTGCAGCGCAATTTTCTGATTGATTGGTTGGTTTTATTTTTGTCGTCAAAGCAACAAAGTTACAGTTCAAACATATGTAATAATAAAATGAATTGCAACCAAAAACGGAATGGAATCGATGCATGTTCAAGCCTTTCCTATTCGACACCTTTGGTTTAACTTCATATGTCATATTCATAACAAAAAAAATCATTATCACTTTTCACATTCTTTAATCATTTTAAACTTAATATGTACTTGTACTACTCTTGTCAAGCCTTTATTAACTTTCAGTGATGGTTAGAACAGCGATAAAGCCTTGAGCTAAATAAAGAAAAAAACATGTTTGTCTTTCAGTCTGTCGTTGTTTGCAAAGATCTGTGAAAAGACAGTGCTGAAGCGAGTGCTGAAAGAGCTGTGGAAGCTGGTGATGAACACCATGGAGAAAATCATTGTTCTTCCAACACTCACGGACCAGACGGTGTGTGAACCAGACACTTTCACCAAGATTATATTGTTTTTAACGCTTTGCATTGACCGTGTCGCCATTGCTTCATTTCTCTGTGCACCCCTGCTTTAGGTCCTTGTAAGTATTGCAGGCTTAATATGTGTGTGGTTTGAGTCACGCAGCATGAGGACTGTCTTTTGTGGTCCTTCAGTGTCCAGTGATCACCCTCACACTACACTGCTCTTACAGTCGTATTTCCTGATCACTGAAGCATTCATTTATTACAGAATACCCAATAAATCCCCCAAGATAAATCCCTGTTTATCTTTATCCTTGTGTGAACAGCCCTGTCCCCATATTCCTCTTGTTCGTGCTCTTTTGGACAGTGTGTCAGCGAGTCCAAATCTACGCCACTGTTTCTAAACACAATGTCTTCTTGCAGGGAACTCAGATGATCTTCAATGCAGCAAAAGAATTGGGCCAGCTCTCAAAACTAAAGGTGATTAAAATAATATTAGGAATGATTAAAAAGAGAAAAAGATGTCTAAATGTAACTGCTATGACAAGTACAAGCTAACACGTTGTAACTTGAATCTGTTGAACAGGAGCACATGGGGCGAGAGGAGGCTAAAGCTCTTACTCCAAAGCAGTGTGCGGTTATAGAGCTGGCGCTGGAGTCTATAAAGGTAATCACAAACTTAAGATTAGATGGTACAAAACAGAGGGGATACCGCTGCGGGCGGCACGGTGGCTGAGTGGATAGCACTCTAGCCTCTCAGCAAGAAGGTCCTCGGTTCAAATCCCGGCCGGACCAGGGCCTTTCTGAGTGGAGTTTGCATGTTCTCCCCGTGTCTGCGTAGGTTTCCTCCGGGTACTCCGGTTTCCCCTACCACTAAAAATATGTCCAATAGTTCTGGCATGTGCCTCCTGTACTGGCCCCGCTCCCATCTCTGTGTGGAGTGAGAGACAAATGCCCAAAATTAACAATTGTAAACCGCTTTGAGACTCAGATCTGCAGTGAAAAGGCGGTATATAAATGTGAGAAGAATGTGAGAAGAGCTGCTGTTATTTCATATTTTAAATATGTTTGAGTTATTAAACTTTATGTTTCTTTCACTACGAGTACAGAAGTAACAACCTCACCCACATGGAAAGAACATATGTTTTAATATAGGTGTTAGTATAGGTGTTGCTTATATTTGACATATGAAATTGGTCGTTTTGTACATATATGCACGTATATGTGTACATATACGTGCATATACTGTATGTGTACACGTATGAACGCATTTAGTTGTACATATATGTACAGTATGTACTAGTTTTCTTTTGTGCAAATAAAAACTAGTGATAGAACCATAGTGAGAGAGGAACGAGTTAGATGGAAATTTTAGATGGTGTTAAAAGTTAGGTACCCCAGCTTTCAATAAAGGTTAAATAAAGGTTTAAAAAAAAACCAGGTACCTCAATGTTGTACAATTTGGCTTAACTTCAAGTTGAAATAAGTCTTGGTTGAAAATCTCCACAGCAATACTTCCATGCCGGTGGCGTGGGGCTGAAGAAAACGTTCCTGGAGAAAAGTCCGGATCTGCAGTCTCTGCGTTACGCACTCTCTCTGTACACACAGGCCACAGACAAACTCATCCGAAAGTTCATCCTCTCTCAACACGCTCAGGGTATGAAACACAGAAAATGTTTACGTAAATGTCTCTTGTTCCGTGCTTATTAAAGACAGAGAATTTGCTTATATGGGTTGTTTATATGACGAGAAAAAAAATCTAACTCTTCTTTTCTCTTTTGCAGTGCACGGAGGAAAAGGCACCAGGTACACGGCTAACGAGGACACGCCACCGGAAAAACGTAAGTCGAAAACTAATAGTTTATCCTATTAACGCTATATTCTGAGTCTTGTTTAATCCCGTCGTTGTTTCTCTCTGCAGCTGCGGTGGAAAACGTGGGAGAGGTGGTCATGCACGTGGACATTTTGCCTCAACCAAATGGAGAACATAAAATTGGCATCAAAGGTGAACACTAAGAAGCCACCTGTGTGTTGCTACATTCTTGTGTTATGTTTTTGGAGTTTTCACAATGTTTTCTGCCGCAGTGGTGGCTGCCAACGATCTAAAGTGGAAGGCACAGGGGTTCAGGCCGTTTGTGGAGGTGTACATCATCGGCCCTCACCTCAGCGACAAGAAACGGAAATTCGCAACCAAATCCAAAAACAACTGCTGGTCTCCAAAGTTTGCAGAGAGCTTCCAATAGTATGTATCTGTGTTTGCTGTCCGGGTTTATAGTGCATTTGATTGCTAAAGTGATCACCTAACTCAAAAAACTTCACCATAACAGTTTCAACAATAGACAAAACAAAACATATATATATACAGTACAGACAGAAACATTAACTCACTCAATCTCACAATGAAAAATAGTCAGTGTGAGTGAGGTCTTTGGGCCAGAGAGAGCCAGGACAGTCGCTGGATGAATCTGCCCAGGCTGTTGTAGGCAGTGTTCAGAGGATGGAGAGAAGGGGAAGTGGTATTTTGATAAAATGTCGGTCATAGGAATAACACTGTAAATGATGACGTATTTGTGCTGACTAAAGACTAAACAACTTTGTAATATTCATAGCCTAGCCTTTATTACTAAGAAGAAATTTTTTAATATAGCTAAAATGTCATCACTTATTGATTGGGAGCGCACTCTGAGGCATGTAAATGAGTTTTGATGTTAGGCTCTATCGTAGAAAACGAATAAAGTCACATTATACTTACATAAATCCACTTAAGTCCTACAACTGATAAAGGCCTAAAGCGCTCAAATCAAATCTGACCAACTGAATATAAAGCCGATTTTATCACATGTGGCCAGCGTCACGAGGAGATGAGTTAGTTAGGAACATAGACTGTCGAAGGAGTGGACTGACGGAAGAAGCCGATGAGAATTTAACAGATTCCATGAGCCATCATTGCAAAGACATGGAAACACAAGATCATAAACCACAGATTGAAATGGCTGGGTTTTTTTCAATGTAAGTGAAGTGGAGCCAAAGTGAGTTGGCGAAAAACTTTCACTGCTAGGATTTATTGAACTAGAGGGTTATCAACCTATTCCATCCAATTTCTTCTGGTTTATCCGTTGCCGTGTTGTGGGGGCTGCAGTCTAAGCAGAGTGGGTTAGCAACTGTCCATCTATACTGTATACAGTAGTGTAGTATACAGACTTAGAACTGCACTGATGTGTTCTGTTGCTCCCTTCGCAGCTCCCTGGGCACAGAGCTGGGTCCGGAGAACTACGAGCTGCAGGTCTGTGTGAAGGACTACTGTTTTGCCCGCGAGGACCGCTGTGTGGGAATGTGTGTCCTGCAGTTAAAAGACATTGTCAAGAAGAACAGCGTCACCTGCTGGCTACCGCTGGATAGGCGTGTGCACATGGACGAGACGGGGCTCACTGTGCTGCGGATCTTGTCTCAGCGCAATAACGACGATGTGGCCAAAGAGTTCGTCAAGCTCAAATCAGACCAGCGCTCAGCCGACGAGGGCCGAAGCTGAAGGAGCGCACAGGCACAAACCCGCGAGAGACAGAGTATTAGTATAGGTCACCCTGTATGTGCAGTCGTAAGCACACCCAAACACTACTGTAAATACATATTGTCATACATCGCAATGTTACCAATGCAAACATAAATTGTTTATAATGTTCATAAGGAATACCCTCAACAGACTTCTCGGCTTTTGTTGAGTCTTCCATTACGCACTTGTCGATGCCTCATAACTTTTTATACGCTGTACATTTAGATGGGATATATTGCAACACTGATAACTCCAAATCCATGTGAATAGTCTGGGGAGAAAGACCACTTTGCACTTTGCTTCTTCTTGGTGTGAGGAGAGCAGTCTAAGCCCATAGCTACCCTCAGTTCCTCTGCCTGCTGCTTGACTGTGTCTTAGGTCCAATGTTATTTCTGTTTTGTCTTGATTGACACTGTGTTGTAAGTTGAGGTCCCAACAGGAGTTCACCAAAACAGTCAGTACGGGGACTACCGGTCTGTCCTGTCACAAAGTCCTGCATGTAGACCCCTGGATCACTGTGAGTTGGTAATTGGCAAGCATTGGATTTCCTGATTGAAGATGGGTCTGTAATATGTGTGTGCATGGTGCATAATGTATGACCTGTATGACCTCCTTCAACAGTCCTTTTGACCTGTAGTTGCTAAACCACCGGCACTTTTTCAGTTGACTTTACTTCAGAGCAATACATCATATTTCTACACAAACAGCCATGGAGCAAGCATTACCTTTGAAAAGGGCTATTGAAGTTGACTGAGTTGCCTGTTTACACTCAAACACATACTGCCCAAACTTCGATTTCAAATTTAACGGACATTCTTTCATGTTTTGGTTCCGTCCAAACCAACAGAAATAAGTATGAGACAATGAATTTTTTACTTTTTGTTTTTATATTACAAAATCAAACCCATAATTGGCCAGATGCCCCTCCCAGGAGTGGATTACATCACAGTTGTCCCTCTATGAGCTTCAGAACACTGGAATAAAAAAAAAAACACAATTAGTAACTTTGAAAACCTGGTCGCCCTGGTTTGTAATGGTCATTGTAATTCCCCACAAGTGATTCGTGTTTCTAGTGAGGTTGTTCCGTTTTGAATCAGGACGAGAAGACAGCTTTAAGAAAGTATTTTGCTTGCACATTCTGTAAAGCCTATTTCATTGTTATTCTGATTTCCACGTTTGTCCATGCACTGGTTTGCCTTACGTTGCAGTCTGTAATGATCTGTGTATGTTGTCTTGTTATCTAAGATTGAGAGCAATATCTTAATAACTATACCCATAAACTTTATGCGCTGTCGAAAACAGTACAAACTGCAATATGTTCAACTAGAACTGGAATCATATTTTTGATACATTCATACGTAGTTTCCCTCTGCATATACAATAACTGCAATATCAGAAGACGAGACACATTTGTTCTTAAAAAGGGCCAAATTGGGATATTGACAGATTAAAAGCCATTGGTTCACTGTAAAGTAATGTATGTTCAACAATAATCTGTCCAGTTGTTGGTGTTGTAAAACAATCCCTTTACCTATAATTGGACCATGTTGGTGCTTGTACATATCCTATCGATGGGTTGACAGCATGATTAGTCGGTCACATGTTGTCCTTAATACAGACCAAAAAAATACTGTTATGTGATTTCATTCGCACGGCCTTCTCCAAATGATTTTTTCAGACAAAGCCATGACTTTAACAGAAAACACCAGCCCCTGCCTTGGATATAGGCATCAACACCAGTGTTTCCTGAGCTTATCACAGCTTATTTGGTGAGAGCAGGTAGAAGATCTAAAGGTAATGGACAGTTCCAAGTGTGTGGTTATTTATGTAGGAAGATTTCAGAGATTCAGACATAAATAAATCTACATTAGTGTCATTAACAAATTCATCACCAGAATTACCACTACATGGGTTTGGGTGTTTGCATTTCTGACACTAAATTATGAGTGACCACTAAATTATCTTCCTAACGTAATGATACAAGACAAACATATTGGTTTGCTTGACTGGCTCAGCTGTAGATCCATGTCCCAGTTCAGTTTGGGGAACACTGGTGTGAATCCTACACATGTCTGTCATTCATGTTAAGTGTGGAATCAATGCCATACCATAATCGCACATACTGACCTTCACTGCAGTGGACAAAAGCACAAAGGCACAGAAAAGACGCTGTCCATGCACGTGACACACACCACTGGAGATCTGTGAATAGTCAACTATAAATGCATGATGGGAAACTTTACGTTTGTGCCGGCACGTGTCTTTTGATGTAGGCCGATTTGAAGCCTGGTCTTATTTTCTGCTATTCATTTTCAAAATTATGTGACTATTTTTTGTTAAATGCAGCTTGTGAGTTTGTCATGTAATCATCTTGAATGTAGTGTAAACACAAAATTTGCATGAAAGATTCTATTTTCTACAAAGGATGACTATAATTTGTATTTCATTTTAATGAGGTGGGTTTGGAATGCTGATTGTGATTTGCTTTCAATTAAAAGAGCCACATTGAGGTTACTGTACATTTACATTGTCAAAGTTTTGTGTTTGTTATTGAGTCATATTACTTGAAATAATGCAACTTATGACAAGCTACAAGCTCAGAGACCAGCCTCGACGAACAATACAAATACAGTAGAATGTTATTTCAAAATAAGCAATGAAGAGGGGACGGTCACAGACTCACAGTCCAGCTCTAGGGCGCTGTACAGATTCACGGTTTCACTTCGCTGCCCCCATGTGGCCAAAGGCCAATACCATCTTTAAAATGAAGGAATCAAACAAAACATGTTCTTTTCGAATTTTATTTTACAGTAAAAAATGAAACCAAAAAACAAGACTTTATTAAAGAAGCATAAAAAATAAAACTCTTATTACATTTCTTATAACCGTAAAGACAGCTCAAATTATATGATTATACAATTATTACCGGCTCACGGTTAAAAGGTCCATAAACTTTCAAATAAAATATATTTCAATTTTAAAATTTCTCAATAATTTTTTCATTTTGTTATAAATTGCCTATATGTAGTACACAGGAAATAAAGCAAATAATGGAAAATAAAATACGTTTGAAGTAATAAAAAAGGGTCACATTATTGTCTGGGATATTTAGATAAGCAAATAAATTGTAAAAAATAAAATGTGTAAAAACTTTTTTTTTTTTACATCTTAAAAATTATTAGCTAAAGCCAGATGGCTTGAAGACATGCAGATGGTTAACTTACAAATAATGATACATGTTCTTTAGAAACTACACATCCCAATGATTGTATTCCAGATATTTACACAGGTTGGGCCTGATCCCTAGTTTGGTTCTGCATACAAAGAGAATTAAAGCAAAAGACGAGAGCAGAGGCTGGAGGGGACCAGTCGCCCCTGAACTGTGGCTCTCTACTCCCCCACAAGTCACATAAGGTCAGAGGCCACTGGCAAGCATGCCTCAGGAAACCCTGTTTTCAATTTTTTAAAGAAAGGAATGAGGGAGGAGATACTTTTGGCTAAAATAAAAACAGGTGATGTAAAAAGTACCTTTTCTACAACTACTGTACATGAATTTAGTCTAACATTCACACAATAGTCAGATAAACCTGGTGCAACACCAAATATCTGGTAGACAACACAATTGATTCTAGTAAATAATAACTCAATATTTCAAGTTAGGCATTTGGTTGGCCTCAATAGACAACTGTCCTGACTGCTCTGTGCTCTGAATGATTAACGCTGTCAGTATAAACACAGCACTCCAACGACAGAACTCAGATGGTTTTCCATGTTAGCATTTACTCAGCATCGTGAATAAAACAGAAAACACTTGAGATGGCTCTGACTCCTACCACATTTGATCAACCCTCAGCACTGTAATCCCAGACCAGCAGTTTTCCACACCTGGAGGAGCATGAAACAATTCAATTCAACTTTGCACAGCCTTCAAAGCTCAGTAGAACCTTTTACTATATCAGTTTTATTATTATTCCTGTAGTTACCCTTTTCCCTTGTTCGAACACCTCTTAATACTTCCTTATGTGCATTCATGTCCAAATCAGGACACACGTTAATTAAACTTCTATAAATAGAGGGGAAGAAAGTATGTGGGATACAGATTTAAAAAAAAAACACTGGAGCAAACCTACAGCACTTTTTTCAGCCACAGGAGTTTGAACACAAAGTGTCTGGAAGCCCTGGATGACCTAGCTACTAGCTGCCATAATTGATGTTCCTACTAAGAGCCTGAAAGGTGGTAAAATCTGTGCAGTCGGAGAAAGCCCTTATTAGCTGTTGTCTGTGTTGTTTAATCACATGTCATGGCTTGTCTCATTCTATGAGCTTTTCCAATAAGAATAGAGTGGCCATGAGAGTCAACCATCAATGTCACCCAAATCATACATACCACATGACATATTAACACTATTGAGGCAGTTACTGCAAACTCACACAGAATTCAAGAAAAACACAAACACAAAACAGGTGTAACTGCCCTACTCAGTACTGCTAAGAAACACAGGACAGGTCTCTACTACACTTGTGGTGCTGCTTTTGGCCAGGACAGCAGCTTTGTGGACTGGGGGGGGTCATCAGAAAGAGTGCCTTACAGCTTCGCTGTGAAATTGGGGTGGAAGACAGTGAATGAATGACAGTTAAGAGCTGTTTGAATTTTAGAGGGGCATAATATTACAGTCAGTGCATTAGAAAAATAGTTTCATCAAGCCCCTTTGAAATGGTTTCACATAGAGAGGCAGCCACTTCTCCCTAATGAACCCCTGTGGGCAAACATTCATGTGTGACATCAGAAAGCCCTATGTTATCCTAAAGATCAAAATATGTCTGTAAGCCACACACATGACAGTCAATTGTCAAAAAACTAGTAGAAAAGACTAAATACACAGATTTAAGTGTAACAGACAAAATCTACAGAGTGGAGGGAAATGCCTTTCTAAAGGTGAGAGGAAAGCAGAGGAGCAGCGGGACAAAGAACCACATGTCTTTATGCTGATGACACGGATTTCAAGTTAAACATATCAGGCTTTTGATTTTGAACAACCGACAGTATAAAGACTGAGAGGGTTTGGACAGCCTGAAGAGAGAAAACCAACCTCAGAAATCCTTCATTATTAGTTTCTCAGTTGTTACAGTATTGAGTGGCACTCACTTATGTACATTTACAGATAAGTTAGAGTAATGCTCATTGCTCCATGTTCCCTACACAAGCATGTTTGGCATTACCATTGGCTAAGCATGTTCAGGTTACAGAGAAAACGTATCCTTCAGAAATACATTGTTCTGCTTGGTGCCTGACTACATGCCAACCTTTTAAAAGAAAAGTTCAGAGCTTTAAGAAAATAGCAAACTGTCACTAAACACCACAAACAGTATGAATAAGAAAGTCAAAAAGCAGAGAATTGTAGGAACAATTTATGCTCCCAAAGGAGCAACAAATAAAGAATAGAAAAAGTGCAGGCCTCATTTTCAGCTTCATTAAAAATATGATAGTACAAAAGTGTCAAAAAAGAAAGGCTGTGAGATGGAAAGCAGGCATGACTCTGAAAAAGCCAGATGGAAACCTGTCCAGAAAGAGCCGTGCATGGGCCCATCCAGGTGAAATGAAGGCATGAAGATAGATAAGACACTAGTTTGTTTCATAAGCTCACAGCTAAGAGACTGTTACACTCCCAGCCATCCGTTTAAATTACTTCATTCTGAAAATAGTTCTCATTATTGTTTTTTTAATTATTATTGTTGTCGTTAATATCAGCAACAAGTCTATGTATAGCATCTAGAATGCATGTATTTTAGTTAAGATTATTAGTGTCAATCTTTCCATTTCCTCTCCCACCAGTTGTGCCTTTATAGTGTTCTCCCTGCTCCCATATTTCCCTGTTTCACTTTGGGCATTAGGAGAAGATTCTGATGCACTGTGTGGTGAGCGTGTGGCACACAGGACACTCAGGCTCAGCAGATTGGCAGATTTGGCCCGCACACTCCATGCAGAAGAGGTTATGGCCACAGGGGACAAGAGCGGCTGTAACCTCACTCTCAAAGCAAACAAAACAGTCCCTGTTGACCGGCCCACCAACACCCACCAAGCCCACACCTGGGACTGAGCTTTTGAGCCTGTTCAACATGCCAGCGCTGAGCCCACTGCCGCCCCCCTCCGAGTCGGTGGGCGAGCCCCCGGGCAGCGACGAGGCCGAGCAGGACGAGTATCCAGTGGAGGATGCACCTGAGCTGGAGCTGGACGCGGCTGAGAAAGAGCCGCTGCTGCCGCCAGATTGCAGCCAGGACAGAGTGCTGAGTGGGTCGCTCTGAGCGCGGCGGGCCAGCGGGTGCTCCAGAGATCCTAAGGCTGCGTCCTGAGGCAAAGTTGGTGACAGACGAGGGGTAATAGCCCCTCCACTCAGACCACTACTGTTCCTGCGTAGGGGCTGCTGTGAGGAGCTCGACTTTGAGGCGTTCCCATTCACAAAAGGCCCCCAAATGTTGGAAGTGCTAAACTCAAAGCCCAGTTCATCAGAGGAAGGCAATCCTGGTGTAGAGTCACCCCCAAAACTGAGCCCCCCTCCAGCACTGCTGGAGCCTGTACTAAAGGGACTGGTGGGGCTGCCACCTTCATTGCTTTTGCGACTATTGGTAAAAGCCTCAGAGTTCAGGGTGCTATTGTGCGATTGGTAGGTAGAGGAGGACATCTTTCGTCCATTTGTGTGTTGCATTGCCATGGAAAGAGCTGGGGGAGTTGAGGAGGGAGGGGGTCCTGAATGGTGCCCAGTTGCCCGGGACCACAAAGAGGCTCCTAGGCCTGCACTCAGGGCACTCAGACCCTCCAGACTGACATCGGTACCGTTGGAGTGGAAGTCGTTGTCTCCCTGCAGGTCCACAAAGGTACCGGTTCGCAGCGTGATGTGTGTCTCAATCTCCTCCCGAGCTCGGTCAACGTTCTCGGGCATCCCAGTCACCTCAAATACAGGATCCTTCTCACGGCTGGGAGTCACGATGTAGGTGTGCGTCTGCTGCTGGATGCGCTTGATAGTAGCTCCTTTTGGTCCCACTACTAAGCCCACAACTCTGTATGGCACCCGCACCTGGACAGAACACATACTTTCAGATTTAGCCTGAGGAAGTGGGGCAGGAAAATCAAAGTAAGTATTTTACCTGTATAGTAGTCTGCCCTGGAAGGTGAGGTGGTCCAGGGAGAGAGCCTCCACCCCCTGTGCCTCCTGCTTTACAGCGTGATGCTCGAATCATGGAGAAGTGCTCAGCTGCCGAGACTATTTCCCTTTTTGCCATTTCCACATCCTCCCGTCGGCCTGTTACTATAAACACTGGTTCTTCACCACGAACAGGAGTCTTTATGTAGGTATTCGTCTTTGCACGTAAAGCCTTGATCTTACAACCTTAAACAAAGAGATACAAAATTAAGTTAATTAGGGCATAGAATTTGAGGAGAAAAAGTCCTCTTCAAATTGTATTACTTTAAATCATAATATGAATGACTTCAGGTTTATCAAACAGTGGCTGAATATTACAATAATATTATTGGAAAACTAATGAATACTTCATCTTGCAGACATGTGTTATTATATGTGTAAGATGTTTGCCGATGTGAACATAAACGTGCTGTTTCTTTAAAAGCAGACGCGTCGGTTCCATTAGCCAATGGGACGCATGGACTGTGATGTCATTCTGGGAAGCTGAAAGCATGGCATTTTCAAACAAAGAGAACAATGCCACGCCGTTAAACATGCTGCGGGTTTCTCTCAAGATATAAATATGACCCAAGTAATGTTTCTTGGCATTTGAGAATAAAAGTGAAAATAAAAACCGATTGTTGGGAACGGGTAGCTCAGGCGTGATCAGCAGCTGAGGCAGACGGCAGTGGAGCAGGGCGTACACCGCCCAATCCCGTGTTAGTGCGCCGCCGCCTACCGTCTATTCATCTGTATTATACATAAACAATAATAGCCATATAGCGTGACATTACCAGGGGGCCTACATAAGTACTGCAATTGCTGCCTCTGCCAATTGTATGAACCGCGCTAAAAATATTTCATGGAATTGTCTTTGTTTGGTGCAAGCTCTTAGACATGTCCAGACTCCCGACAATCTGCCGCTTTGTCTGACCCTCTCCCACCCCTCCCCCTCCATCCTACTCATCAACCACACTCTCTTAACCCATTTTCTTGTCAAGCTATTATCGTAATGGAGTTAAAGCCACATGCAAAAGGTTTTATGCAGTTTAAAACACATAGAAGATGAACCACTTGTTTATCAGGTTCATATAGCAATAATTCAGAGGCCGACAAAGAAGAAAAGTCTAGGGTCTAATATCCAGCCAAACAAAGAACAGGCAACATGCATGCAAGTTGTCCTCAAGACGTGACATCAACAGGAATAAACGTAAAGCTCACCTTGTCTGCCCACGATCTCCGCCACATGCTCAGAACTAGGGACAGGAACACACTCTGTCATGTTTACACTTCTTTTCCTATTACAGAGCACGGAGCTTTGTTCTCCGTGAAGCATGGTGTGAGAGCCAGCCATGTGGTAGTTGCCAGACCCATAATATTCCGGTGAAGGTGAGCAGGATGAAGGCGAATCTCGCGATCCACTTGGGTGATCCAGCATCTGCAGATCCACGTAGCCTCCTCCGCCCACTCCATTACATCCTTCAGAGCCCGAAGCTGGAGTCCCATCCAGGGCGTCCAGGCCATTGCCACGGTCTACTTTGTCCAGAGACATGAGTGACAGCTGGTCCAAGGCAAAGCGCAGTGCCTCCTGGTGCTCCTCATTCCGAGACTCCTGGTCTCCGTTGTGCTGGCTGCTGATCACCACGTCGTGGTCCATAATTTCGGGGTGGAATAAAGGGCTAGGCATTTCTCCGGGATCTCACATTAGCTCACAAAAGCCGATTGTTGATGAGTTGCCTAAGGGATACAGGAGAAGTTTATATATATAACACAATCAAGGACATACACAAGTTTAAAAGACTGTGGAAAGACTCAGTGACTGGCTTTGTTGTTGCTTTGTGTCACTGACTGAACCATCCCAGAGCTGTTGTTGTTTTTGATACAGCATGTTCAAATACTGGCTAAACCATTTAAGATGAAACCCCTTACAACGTGAAATACGAATACAATGAAAGCAGAAATGTATTTTAACAAGGAGAGAAGTAAAGATAACCTCGATAACAAAAGAGTTAGCTGTTAGCTGCAGAGTCGGCTCCAGTCACGTTGTCGCCCCTTTGTTTGGGAGCGCTGAGGCTAGCGGCTAGCTGCTGAACATACACAAGACAACTTCTACCTTTCTTACAAACGCTGCGTTGATTTCCATAATTAAACAAAGGTGGAAAACAGCCAAACTCACTTCGTCTAGTCTTCCCCAAGAGAGCTCTCCTCCTGTGGTAATCAGAGTTGTTATTGAAGGAGTAAGATGATCAGCAGATGAGGCGAGGCGATCAACGCTGGCCAGCACTAGGAGCTAGTGTTAGCCATGGCAGCTAAACGGGGGGCGTACGAGAAAACGACTGAAGCAAGGCTGGTCTTTTCCCACTTACTGAAAAAAATAAAGCACGCCCCCAAAGCTGCTGTCACTTGTTTCCTGTCCTGCGTCCCGTTCCCAGATCTCGGAGAGCTCCACAAAAATAATGGACCTTTTACTGGAAGACGGAGCTTGTGTTTGCGCGCTGCCTGACCCGGGTCCGCCGCCTTTGTCTCGCCCATAGACACGAGCTCACAGACTGGTGCGCGAGACACAAGAGGCGCACGCGGCTCCACACACACTGACGTCACCGAGACACAACAAAGGGTTCAAAGGCCATCTGCAGCATGTCCCGCTCTGTCACTGCGCAGGGACAGGACCAGGACCAGGACCAGCGATAATAAACCATAGACTACCACCCGAAGACGCTCAAACTCAGATTATAGTCCGGGAAAGATGAGCAGTACTTCTTTTCACCATGAGGTGTCCAGAACAACATACTAAAATCCAACTGACTCAAACAGCACACTGAAAGCATCCACGAATATACGTTTTTGTATTATACGTTTCTTTGAAAATCAATTTGAATATGAGATGAGGTCAATGCAAATTGAACAAACATGTGTAGCTCATATGTATAGTACAATTAATATTCAAAATGTGTAATTCTAAAACAACACATTTTAATTTTCTTGGATACTTCCCGTGTGTTAATTGTTGTTGTGAAAGGAATAAAGGAAAAAATTATCCTTTTTAGGTGTAGTTGATTGGCACCTTAATTTCACAACCAGGATTTCCTAGAGCTTGTAGTATATTGTTCTGGAAAAAGCATAGAAATGATTCATAGTGAAAAATATACTTTATTTATTTATGTTTTTTTCGGCCCTAAATTCCTTGTGTACCTGGACTATAAGTGGTGTTCTTTATTGTTGATTCAGTCTGTTAGTTTTCTGTTTACTAAAACACAGTTTCCATAGATAAAGCCACAAAAGCAGAGAATAAAGTAACACATTTTTGCTAGCATTTGTTGGTAAATATTAATGTACATTTTGTTTAAGAGGCAGTTCTATAAGTGAAACGATTCATGTTTATTGTAAACAAGACACGGCAGAGGGGGCGGGGTTGCACTGACAATGGTAAACCAAACATCTGCAGCCTGCCCTTCAGGAAGGAAAATCTCTCTTCCAAAGATTTCTCTTTGTCCCCATTTGCTGTTTACATGGGCAGAGAATTGAGTATGCTCTAGTACAGGGGTTACCAATAAAATCGTTTTAAAATTCTAGAGAAGAGTAATTTCTCTCAACAACTGTCCAGAAAAAAAGTTAATTCTATAAGCTGTGTAGTATTCAAGCAACACTGACCATAAGACTCAGAGCCACAAGTGAAATCCTAAAACAAAATACCTCCCTCATTTTGCAATGTGAGTAAAATTGGCAGTGGCCTCCCTGGCACACTGCAGCTTAGCCTATAATAAATATCTTACAACCAAAAATATATTAAGTGTTCAAATCATTAAATTCTAAACACAATGCATTTTTATTCATGATGTATAGTGAAATGAGGGTCCAAGAGCAGTTAGCTATAAATAATAATCATAACAATCCAATTCAATCATTTGGTCCAATCACGAGTTTTCACATTTGACAGCTAAAGTGACATCTTCAGGTCCTTTTTTTACTGTAAAGTGAAAAAGAAAAGACCATTGCCAATCAGCTCTCAGTCCAAAGCGTCAAAGAGAAGCTCAAGGGCTCAATGTTACATGCAATAACTTTTCTAAATAGATAAAATAATTTCTGTTGGGACAAACACAATGCGTAATTTATGGAGGGAAAAAAAAGTCAAGCTACCCTTTAAGGCCGCTGTGTTCGAGAACATCCACTGGTATGATAAAAAGAGGCTCAGTTCTCACCTGACAACAATAATGACTACTGGATGTATTTATTTTGTGAGAATAATGTAACTGTTCGTTGAATAAAAACAAAATGGGCCCCATAGTGCAGTTGTGACTCAAAAATGCAAGTGTTGTATAGATCCATGGTTTTATGGCAATTACATAAACATGTGATAAAAAAATTACACTAACTTGACACGTACTTCAGTCCTGGGTCTACAGCTGTGAGTCTCAGTTGTGTTGAGTCTTTCTTACTGATGCAGAACAAACATAAATGATCCAGAACATTGATTCACCCGTTTCATCTTTGACTATTTGACCAAAGACTGTTTACTATTGCTTTTTTGTGTGCTCCAATTGTCTAATTTCTAATGTGTAAATCAGCAATTGCTGTTGATATATCAGGCTATACTCAAAGAAACAAAGCAAGAACTATACACATTGTTGCTCTCCTAAAGTCTTAAAGGGTTTGGTGAAATGAACAGAAAAACTTTATCTTACAATGGAGAAATTGAGAATGTTAAAAAGAACAGTTAAAACCTAAATGGAATCATGTCTATGATGCTGTACTGCCAGAAAGTTACACTGTATTGTTTTATTTTTTTATTTAAAAAAAGGTTTTACAATCACTGTGGCATTTCTTAAGTATTGAAATTGCACTTCTTAGTATAAAAATAGTTTGTGATTTTAGTATCAACACTTGGAAGGAAAATAGAACGAACTGTGGCCGTCTGTGTCATGTGGAATGTAGATTGAAAAATGTTCATTTTAGCTACGATGATATCTTTGGGTCCACCTCCATCACAGTCTCCTCCTGTTCCCCAGCTGCTTCATCTGAAGTGAGGTCATTTAAATTAGCTAAAGAGTCAGCCATCAAAGCTTCCTCCAGTCGCCTTCGGACACTTTGAACTTGTTTCTCTTGTTTCCTGCCGCACAAAAGATGTAGAAGTTAAGCAAGGTAGTTATAAAATACAGAAAAAACAATTATACAACAAACAGGTACCTAATGTCTTCATCTGTCACAACAAAAGCTTTGCAAAGTGGCTGAGCAGTATTAAGCCAGACTCCGGGATTTTTATCTACTGCAGCCGTCAGTTGTCCAGTGACTGGAGATCCACTTGTGTGAAGAGCACTGGCAATGGCGGACAATAGAGTTTCATCTGAACAGGCAAGCCCCACACCTGGGTATTTTAGGAAGAAAAAACTATCACCCATAAATATCAAAATAGATTGTTTTGTTTGCTTTAGATCGTCTTACCTTGTAAGCCTTTGGGAAGGTCCATAGATTTGATAATTTCCTCAGCGATGTTAAACGCACTTAAACCACTTAATTTTCTTTCCCAGAATAACTAATTGGCAAAACAAAGCAATACATTTTAATGAAAGGATATAGGGAATCATTCTTACATCATACACAAAGCTTTTTAGAAGCAGCACCTGTTTGGGTGGATCTCTGGCTCTTCGCAGGTCTGTCTTCACTGTATTTTTGGGGTGCTTAGTCACCTTTGTCACTGGTTGTTTGAAGATGGAAGCTGTCTGACGAACTGGCAATGTTGTGTTTAGGTCAAGCCTGGTCTGCTGAACACACATTTTATATATTTTCAATGAAGGTAAAGATACTTGGTTTGCATCATTTAACTAAAATAAAACGCATGATCAAAGATATCCTATTTATCATAATTGAAAGAAAAAAGAAACAGATGCCTTTGGAAAACCACTAACCTTTATTTGTGCTGTATGATATGCATTTCTCTGCTTATAGTGCTGTGCTTTGGACGCCCACACCTGGCTGCTACTGCTGCTGTTATCAGCGTCTATCTGTGAGGCACTCCCCAAACCATGGATGATTTGGGGCTTATTCAGAAAATGCTTCACAGGAATACTACAAACAAAAAAACAACACATTGAGATGTAAGGAAGGTATTCAGACAAAATAAAGAAATCTGGACTTATTTGCAGGGAATAAGTGTGGAAGAAAAAGAAGCTGGTGGTCGGCTATAACAAGCACCGTTGCCATATTCTGCACCTTTTCACAAATCAAGTTGGACTCTGCCCACTCTTCTGCATTTTTCTTCACGTGTTGGATATTATACTGTGTGCCAAAGTATTCAGATAGATCCTGTTTTACACAGCTAAAACTAACTTTTAGCACTTTTGAAGCAGTGTGGTCGAGAAAGAAGAGGTTAACAGTTCATGAAGTGTGCATGAGGTAAGATAAGATAGACTTTATTGATCTCACACAGGAGAAATTTACACATCACATCTGGCATGGATCGAATCACTCAAGATTTGTGCAAAAGCAAGAAGTGTGCAAACACGTTAAAGGCAAAAGGAAAAAAATATAGTCTGTGCAGTATATACAGTGGGGTAAATAAGTATTTAGTCAGCCACCGATTGTGCAAGTTCTCCCACTTAAAATAATGAATTTTTCATCATAGGTACACTTCCACTGTGAGAGACAGAATGTGGAAAAAAAATATCCAGGAATTCACATTGTAGGATTTTTAAAGAATTTATTTGTAAATTATGGTGGAACATAAGTATTTGGTCACTTCAAACAAGGAAGATCTCTGGCTCTCACAGACCTGTAACTTCTTTAAGAAGCTCTTCTGTCCTCCACTCGTTACCAATATTAATGGCACTTGTTTGAACTCGTTATCTGTATAAAAGACACCTGTCCACAGCCTCAAACAGTCAGACTCCAAACTCCACTATGACCAAGACCAAAGAGCTGTCGAAGGACACCAGGAAAAGAATTGTAGACCTGCACCAGACTGAGAAGAGTTAATCTACAATAGGCAAGCAGCTTGGTGTGAACAAATCAACTGTGGGAGCAATTATCAGGAAATGGAAGACATACAAGACCACTGATAATTTCCCTCAATCTGGGGCTCCACGCAAGATCTCATCCCGTGGGGTCAAAATGATCATGAGAACGGTGATCAAATATCCCAGAACCACATGGGGGGACCTGGTGAATGACCTGCAGAGAGCTGGGACCAAAGTAACAAAGGTTACCATCAGTAACACACCTATGATGACAGGGAATCAAACCCTGCTGAAGCCAGTGCATGTCCAGGCCCGTCTGAAGTTTGCCAGAGAGCACATGGATGATACAGCAGAGGATTGGGAGAATGTCATGTCGTCAGATGAAACCAAAGTAGAACTGTTTGGTATAAACTCAACTCGTCGTGTTTGGAGGAAGAAGAATACTGAGTTGCATCCCAAGAACACCATGCCTACTGTGAAGCATGGGGGTGGAAACGTCATGCTTTGGGGCTGTTTTTCTGCTAAGGGGACAGGACGACTGATCCGTGTTAAGGAAAGCGTGAATGGGGCCTTGTATTGTGAGATTTTGAGCCAAAACCTCCTTCCATCAGTGAGAGCTTTGAAGATAAAACGTGGCTGGGTCTTCCAGCATGACAATGATCCCAAACACACCGCCCGGGCAACGAAGGAGTGGCTCCGTAAGAAGCATTTGAAAGTCCTGGAGTGGCCTAGCCAGTCTCCAGACCTCAACCCCATTGAAAATGTGTGGAGGGAGTTGAAAGTCTGTTTTGCTCGGCGACAGCCCCAAAACATCACTGCTCTCGAAGATCTGCATGGAGGAATGGGCCAAAATACCAGCTACTGTGTGTGCAAACCTGGTAAAGACCTATAGTAATCTTTTGACCTCTGTTATTGCCAACAAAGGTTATATTACAAAGTATTGAGTTGAATTTTTGTTATTGACCAAATACTTATTTTCCACCATAATTACAAATAAATTCTTTAAAAATCCTACAATGTGAATTCCTGGATTTTCACATTCTGTCTCTCACAGTTGAAGTGTACCTATGATGAAAATTACAGACCTTTAATTATTTAAGTGGGAGAACTTGCATAATCGGTGGCTGACTAAATACTTTTTTGCCTCACTGTATCAAGTACAATAAAAAGTGGAAATTAAAGAAACAGTGGCAATAGTAGTGCAGGTTTTTCAGTCCTAGTGCAAGTTACTTAAAGTGACTTATTGTACAGTATGACAGCGGTGGGGATACTATAAAGGCCACTTTATCCCCACAGGTACAATATTAAGAAGATTAAAAGATTATTAATCCCACAGTGGGGATATTTCAGTGTTACATCACAAGTTACAGAACACAAGATAAATGAATATTAAATATAGCACTTCACACTTTAAAAAATCTCTATCTTTGCTTAATAAAGAAATAAATGATAAACTACTGTATACGCTAGTTCAGTAAACATACTTGAAATGTGTACATTTGTAATACAGGATGAGACTCTGGGATATGTACAAGAAACATAACTTAAGTTGTAACCACAGACAATCTATTCATAACATTATTGAGAGGTGCCATAATGTAGATCCTGGTGATACAGTCCAGGCAGGTTAGGGATCGTGCGGATGATGAATGCACTTTTGTTTAGAAATACGTTGGTGTAATTCGCTACTTGTGCAGCTGCTGCTCAGATGTTCACGATGTCGCTAATATCGCTATACTTGCATACCCAGCAGTCCTCTCCCAAACCGACTCTGACGTGTACAATTCACGGACTATTTACGCCTTTGTTCACGTTAAAGAGAAGTGTTTGTGCCCACGAGGAGCCGCGCCGTCCTCCGCAGACGCCGCGGGCTCAGGGCTCACGGATCACGGCTGAGAAACGCAAACTGCTGCCAAAGTTTAGCTTGATGCATTTACACGTGGAGTCAAATCGAAACATGTACGATTAACCTGCATTTTGGGTCGTAATGATAGATTTTCGATACGGTGCATGCAATTCAAAAACAAAGTTATCAGCATCCATTATCAGCAGACTAGTCACGTACCACTTTCTGTCCATCGTGTCTTGTACAAAGCAGTTTTTCTCGGGATCTTTTTAGGATCTTTCTAAAAGTTGAGTTGTTTTACTGTCGTCAATGGCCCCCGTGACATCCCTAACCACTCCGCATACCCCTTGAGCGGTAATGCGCCGTCTACATCCGCTGAAATGTAGTCCAGTGGTTCCCAACCTGTGGGCGGGGCCCCCGTTGGTCCCCAAGTGTTGTATGGCCAGAAAGTCATGTTAGCAGAGACGTATCCTTTAATGCATTAATGTAAGTAACTGTTGAAAAGAATATATACTTTATTCATCCAGAAATTCAAATTCCTGAATGTATATAAAGGAGAAACAACGTCTCTTGATGCTTGATGTAGCAGGCGATAAAAATCAATATATAAATGATGTAGGCCATACATGGTATACTATCTATCTGAAGAATACAAACTCTAAATACTGCATCATAGAAAAAAGTCAAGGCAAAAACTAACACAGCACTTTATTTTAAAACAATCAATAAAACAAGCATTACATCATGTGGATTAAAAACAAGATTTTAATTATTTTCATCCATGCAAGATGTCCAGTGGCCACAACTGTAAGCTCCATGTCCCCCAAACCTAGGAGAGAGAAGCGACGACAAATCACTAAAAAATTACTAATATTTATACATCACAGACACTTATCAGGCTTTATAAAATATTTTTCTCTTTTGTACTATGGTTTCTAGCATCCCAATATTTAAGCATACATCTGAAATTCCTTCTTGTTAACCAACCTTTTTCTTTTATTCATCTTTTTTAAATTTCCCATTGACATAAGGTACATAGCCCAATATTAGTTCCCAATCGGTGAAGTGGACTAGTGCGACTCCTCCAGCTGTGCCCCACACAGCGAGAGTTGGAATCCTGAAACAAAACAAAAATTTATCAGATTTATCTTTGTAAAAGTAAAAAAGTTTAAAACAGTTCAAATAAAGCAATCACAAACCTTTTAGACATACACAAAATAACTAGAAGAGCATGTGTAGCGCTCAGACCTCTGCCAGGACAGGCGGCTCTATTCCTTTAAAAATTAAAGCTCTGGACCCTGATCAAATTATGTTTTCCTTGTCACATAGCAGAGATTTACTGAAAACAACGTTAAAATCCACCTCTACCGTTTTGAGTTGTTGCAATGACTGTAGTTGTACTGTGCATCTTATCCAACTAATGCCACTTTTCCACAGTAACTGTCCGGTACGGCACGGCATGGCACGGCATGGCACGGCGGGGCACGGCCGTGTGCGGGTGCTTTTCCATTAAAAAAATAGTACCTCTTCAGCGTGGGAGGGGTTGTCAGACCACGTCATTTACGTGCAATGTGTAACCAGTAACATTGGTGCGGTGCATGGATTTATTATAATAATTGGTGATAGCTGGTTATTACCTCTCTTCTTACCCCCTGCAGAACTGGCTCCTAAAACCTTTTCAGGACACCGGGCGACTGACAGACTAACAGCAAGTATTTAATAGAAAATTTATTAAAGCAAACGTAAAGTGCAAAACCAACAGTTTACAAACTCCACAGTACGTATGTCTCTGAGACCGGGTCCAGATCATAGACTGTATTAACGGACAGAGTCCCGCCTAGGGATGTAAAAAACTATGAATTTCCATGACCGACCACCGAGCCTCATTAACCGGTTGAAACCGGTTAACCGCGTAGTTTAAAATAGTCCACGTTCTTTGAAATAACAGCCATTTCGAGCTGCGTACTTTTCATATGTGCAGCTGAGCATTCTAATGGATCAGAGCGGAGACAGCGGCACCAAAACCCGCAACAGCTTGGGCACCTTTGCGCACAGAGAACTGCTGTTTTAATCTTCCCATTATTCTGTGCTGCGGCTTAAAGCATTTTTAAGCAAAAGACAGCTCGTCCACATGGTCAGGGCAGCGAGTGACGAGCCGCGTCTCGCAGGTCTCCGCTAAAGCTTAAAAGTGATCAGTGTGGAGCTGATGCCAAGGACCAGCAGCACAAACATGGTCCATGTGGTTTGACTGGAGCCGTGTATTCGCAACAATGCTTCGGGCTCCGTGACACAGAGGAGCGCGACAGACCGGTATGTGTGTGTGTACAATACATGTATGTATGTGTGTGTAAATATAAGCTCCAATGTAGTTCTGACCCGCACCAGTGTGCAACTAGCAGACGGTAACACAGGGGAGAGATGATGCGTGTGGATGTTACGTGTCAATGGAGGGGGGGGGGCGCGTACGGCGTGAGAGTCGGCCCAGAGTTTACTGTTACATTGGCGCACACAGCTAGATAGGGACCCGCTCGTCACATCGTGCAAATAGGGCTTAAAATAGCGTTATGAAGAGACTCCCCCTTTTCTCTTTTTTAACCGACAGCTTTGACCGGTTAACGCTGTGACGGTCAACCACCGGTTAAACGGTCACCAATTTACATCCCTAGTCCCGCCTATCTCCGCCGTTCTAACTAATGGGCCAAAAAATGTGCTCTACTGGAGCAATCCAAAATGGCCGCGAGTGGTCCAGCCCACAAGAAAATTGTGAAAAAACGCATCTGCGCATGCGTCAGCCGGCGCAGCTCCATTCATTTGAACGAGAGACTTAAAAAATTCACAGCGAGTAAACTAGAGTGGTCCAACAAAATTCACCCCCTCAGCATTGACACGCATGTGGAACGGAGCTTTGAGCCAAGAGCCAACTTTTGGTCCATCCTGTAAAGACGTTTTTGAGAGGTCTGCCAATGCTATATGTTAGCATTGGCTAATTCTTCTTCTGGGTCCACCCCCATCGGCCCGGAGTGGTATTGCAAGCATGTCAGCACACGTCGTTTTGGCCACTTTTGAGCTGGGACCCTCCCCCACTGGTCCAGATGTGGAGAAAGTGAAGTACTCCGGTCACTCATTGCTCGTTGGTAATCTCCTCACTTGTGGGAAGGGATTCTCAAACAAATAAATATACACACGGCAACTTAAGTTCAAGCAGAAAACAGAATGGCAACATGTGAACGAGCAAAATACAGCACAGAAGAACAGGAAGGACGTTTTAGTTTATTAGTTTGCTATCGATAGCTAAATGTAGCTAGCCCACTGTGTACAGACAAACTTTTACACAGTATATACATTTCAGTGAGCGCTTTGGGCCAACAGGATACGTAGCTAACCAGTTATTTCCAGGATTACCACAGACTAGTCACAAATCAAGAGCTGGGCGATCTCCATGAAAACCTCGTTCCGTGTGCCGTGTTCCATTGGGCTGCCTTTGAATTCTTTCTTTGGCCTAAAGAGAGTAAGGTGTGGACCTCGTTGCCCAACCAGGGCCTTTTGGGGCTTTCTGTGCGATTCCATTTCCCTAGAGTGAGAAGGACGTATAACAGCCTTTTATAAATCCATGGCAGAGCAGCCGTTTTTAAAGATGGCGGGGTCGAGTTGTTTTTACCAAAAGGGTCGGACGTCGCTTCCAGTGACGAGACTCGTTGACCAATCAGTGTAAGGCAGTCGGCCGACGTCACGTCAAAGTATTGCTTCGGCCCAATTGGAACCACGGTCGAGGCGGTACAAAAAAAGTACCCCCGATCCCAAGCCTGACCTTAATGGAAATGCAAAATAACCGCGCCATGCTGTGCCGTACCGTTACTGTGGAAAAGCGGCATAACTTACAAAGAGAAATAAATCCTGATGATGATGAATAACTGTGCAGCCCTACTTAGGATGAGATGAGATCTTGTGTCACAAAAAAAAAAAAATCCCCTGGGATCTAATAAAACCACCAACTAAGTTACACCTAGTCTGTGAAAATATTCACTAAAGGCATAACTTTGGTCAAATTCATAATTTTCTTTTAAAAATCAACAGATTCAAACAAAGAATAATCGCCTAACTAATCGATTATCACAATGTAATCAAATCTGATTATGGTAAATGGAAATTGCCCCATTGTTTTTTGAGCAACAAATTGTGTATAATAAAACAAAATAGTCAGAAGTATATTTGCAACTCAAAACAGAAGGAGGAGGGTGAAGCCGCAAGGAGCCAGGCAAGTGTTTGAATGCAGGATGATTGGACCAGGTGTGAAGTTTACTGCTAGTATTGATCAAACTTTTCTTTCAGCCTTGTTTTTTGGCACCGTTACCTTTAACCGAAGCAACTGCATTGTGCATGTATTTATGGAAGACAAGTGCTTCATTAAATTACTGAAATGAAAGTAAAGAAACGTCTTCCATGTGTATATTACGTCCCACCAATCAGAACATGAATATTGCATAGTTGCTTCACCACCGACAGCTGTTTTGTTTTGTTTTGTACATGTCATCGAAGCACCTCAAATTAATATAAACAGATGCAATGTTCCTCGTTTTATAGAAATCACGCCACCCCAAAAACACATCTGCAGTCACATTTTTTGGATGCATGTCTGCAAAGTTATACAAAAACATTTTTTTTTGAGCAAACTGGAAAACATCTTAAGAAAATAGTCAATACTAATGTTGTTTTCAACAACATAGGTTAAAATTCTCATAATTCAACAAAACCTTTTCTCTTCCACATCTTTTCACTATTTCAGCCTACCAGATTATTACTGTCTCATGAGTTAACTAAAGCTAAATGAACTGGTCAAACACGACCAGATACGTGCATGTGCTCATGGATGCACGTAGGGCTCAAAACTTCATTTCGATCTAAACTCAATTTGTGCCTTTAAATAATTGTCAGAAGAAGGGACTATTTGTGACTTTTACAGTGACTGACCTCGTCTTGGCTAATGGCTAAGCTAACGTCAATTTAAGGACATAACTGATGGCTGTACAGCCAAATAGTGTCATATTTATCTTAATATAGTACAGATACAGAACAATATACTCACCACGATTTGGCGATGGAAATAATCTTCGGACCCACAACCTTACTGAGCATTTTGACGATCTTGAAGCATAGAAGTGAGTCTGAACAGTCTGAACAGCTGGTGGTAAAGCGCATGCGCAACTGAAAGGTTGTTCTTCGCCTTGTGTACTGCTGCCTCCTCTTGGTAGATTTTTGTACTGCATTAACTCCGAAATTAAATAAAAAATAAATGATCTCAAAAACACACTCGCAGACCTCCAGGGTCCAGATGGTATTCTTATCGGTATCTAAACTATACATTTTACCTAATACATCTTTACTTTATTGAGCACACAAGTGAACAAAATTATTTGTGTAATGCACTAAATTGTCTTTAAAATATGTCCCTAAAGATGTCTGAGAGCAAATGAAATTTATTTTCTAACACATTTTTTTCTATCTCTGAATAGCAGTTACCAAGAGACTAGATAGCAAAATTACATGTATTTGTAATTAATAGCATTGTTTCTTATTTCATAGTATAAACTAAAAATATAACGAAACATGCAAACACAATTAAATGAAACTTTTTTTTTAATGGCACATTTATTGCTACATTACTGTTATATACACAACAGCTCTCAATATCTAATTTACTGTATATATAAAAAATAAGAAACTGGAGGCACTTTGAGGACAATGTGTGGTAGTTGTCCCCAAACATGAATGATGACACTGATCTGCAGTGCATCAGATATCTATGATAAGCTGTTACAGTTTACATAAGTATGTAGACTCCTTCTGTTTGATTTGACAAATTACAAAAAAAAGTTTTTTGTTTTTTTTTTTATAAAAGGTGAGCAAAAGAGATAATGGTAAACCAAATACTGTCAGAACAGTGCCAACTTACAATGGTAATGCTGATCAAACATCTTGAGAAGTTCAAAACAAAACGGATGTTAGTCAAATACATATATACTACAAAATAGGTACACACAATTTAGGGATATTGTTTTTGAAAAAGCGTCAGGTTGAACATCAAAAAGACAAATAATTTAATCCATCAGATGATCCAAGACAAAGTTAGATATGGAGATAATTTTAACAGTACAACAAATAAATCAACAAATGCAACATCTTCCACCACGTAGTGGAGATTTATGCAGGCACTAGTGAGTAATCAGTATGAAAAAAAAATATCCAAGCCCAGACTAAGGCCACCCTGATGACTGAGTTTAGTTTCATGTGAATATGGGCATACACCAAATAAAGTGAGAATGCAACTTGTGTTGCGCATTACCTGAAAAAATGAAACAAATACAAGATCCAAAAATGTGAAGGGGAAAACTGAATGAGGAAAACAACTATTCTTCCCTTTATACATTATGGTTATGCCATGCTATACTAGAATATAATTACTGGCCAGGTAAAAAAAAAAAAAAAAGGTAATTTAAAAAAAAAACAATAGGATGTGAACATTGGATTCATATCAGAGCACCTGGACAAAATGTAATTAGTTCCAGGATGAAATCTACAAATACACTGAAAACATTTTAAGCCAAAGCAAACACAATATAGTTAGTCATTGGTATTTGAATCAAACTAAAATTTCAACTTATTTGTTTCCTCAATAAACTGTCAATTAGGGTTATTTAAAAAAATCAAATAGTTTGCATTTTTGAATGACCAAAAACGTAATTGTGTCAAAATACATTTTCAAAGCAATGAATGTAAACAAAGGAAGGACTTTAAGGAAAACTTCATTTAAACACAACTATTTTACAAAGTAAAAAAAGAAAACATACAAAAAAAAGGAAGATTCTCATACAATTGTTCAAAACGTAATGCAAAACACAGAATCTTCCACATGGTCAGTCAATGGCAATAGAGAAAATTGTCCATACAGTTGCATTTCATAGTAAAACTCATGATCCATTCCATCAACTTGCACTGGAGCTGGAGGTAACTATCACCATAATACAAATGTGCTATTGATCATCTGAAGTTTGACTGCTGTTAATTTCAAAGTGGATTTAGTCAGGGCAAAACTGACATGATGATGGAGAAGATGGGGCAGAGTGTTGTCGTCCGCACTGGAGTCCCATAAATGCCTCACAGAGGAATAGTTTGGAAATCCATCGACACATTTTATTCACTTTAGACACACTTTAATTTTTCCCAGAGTCTCTGCTCAGGTTGTGTGGGTCTTTCCTTTTTCCATTCCACTTGCATGGCAGTGACAATAACAAAATGTACAGGACGCTTCGAGGCAAGACTCAGGATCCACAGTACAAAATCACGTATTGCGAGCTTCATTTGTTTTTTCAGTCATGTTTAACGATAATCCATACTTTTAAAGTTAGGAATGCCAATCAAATTATCCAATAAAACACTTCTTTACTTTTTCCTCACAAGCAATTGATCCAAGTAACATTTGCTCCCAACAGATGAAGAACAGCAACAGAATGTAAGCATTGTCCTTTCAAATCCGTTATCTCAACTATCATTATTTCAGTAACATGTTTTGAGTCCATTGGAATGTGGCCAACAGCTTGTCATTATGGAAGGATGTGTGTTTTGTAGAAATTGATTACCATTGCGTTGTGCGTCACCCATATACTGTATTAAGGCCACAGCGTTGTACAATCAACCATCACTACAGAAGAGGGGAAACAATCGTGTTACAAAAAAAACATATGCAGTAGTGACATTTTAGGAATAATGCTGTAGATCTTACCGGAGTATTACATATGTCCATCTCCCCCCAGACCTGGGTGAGTCCCTCGATGGATTTGTTGGTCCACCCCAGTAACTTTCTCCTCCTCCCTCCTTTTGAGACATGCTGCCTTGGGGTTTAGATTCCGCTCTTTGGGAACAAAGAACAACATTATAGGAGAATCTTAACAAATGCCGTTTATCCTGAAATTCACATTGAACCCAGAAATGAAAAAGGAGGATATAAACTTGGCAGAAAAGTGGTGCACTTCCTGTTTCTTTTACATGGCTCATTATTTAGAGAGAGGAAAGCTGAAGCGGATGTTACACAGTCAAATGCTCCGGAGGGGCAAAAGCTGCAGTCAGATTTGTTGCGCTTTTGAGATGTCTATCGGAGACAAATTGGGCCCTTCTTATATTGGGTGACCTACCTCGCACCTGCTTCTCCAGGCCCATTATGACCTGCACGGCCTGCTGCAGGATGATCAGTTTGGTCTGGGCTTTGTCGCTCTGGAGGTGGATCTGACACATCCTGCCCAGCTCTCTGAAGGCATCGTTAATGTCTCGCACACGCACCCGCTCTCTGGCATTGTTAGCTAGGCGCCGCTCTCGCTCCCTTTGTTCCTTTTCTTCAGCAGTCAGGTTCTCATCGCTCACTGAGACCACGCTGCCGCCAGGAGAAAGGGGGTTGAAGCAGCTAGGTAACAAAACCAGATGACAAGCATGACGAATCTCGACTAAGTCGTAGTTTTGACGGATTGTGACAAATGAGAGCTGGCTACGCTAAAAATATTGATGAAGAAATCCAGTGGAGTGGCTTTCTGGGTACGACAGAGCGCATGTGAGATAAAACTTTTAGATGCCGTTTCAATACAATGGGACAATTTTTATTTTTTATTTTAAAGATTTCACCTTAGGGGTCACTGGAGTCCAGGGCGAAAGTTGTGGGTATATATATTTAAATAACAGGACAGAAGTTATGAGGGAAGAGAAAGGAAGCGCACCCTCTGCCAAGTGCTACACAAAGACAGAGCCACAAGATAAAGCTATTGTGTTAAATACATCAGCAGCAGGAGATGTATTTATTTAAATGCAATAGAGAAGATCATGTTGCCATCTGTGGACGGGAAATAAAAGGCAATGGGAACGAAATGGCGCAGCAAAACAATTCATGTCTGAAAGGCTGAAGCATGCATTACACAGACACAGCAACCAATCAGAGAAGTTAGTGAAGATGATAGCGATTACTGAGGATCAGACACAATAACACAAGGCTTGACAATGAAAAGACACAGGCCCGCACATATATATTATCATATATATGCTATGAAAAAGAAAGCCTGAGAGTCAGTCAGTTGTGAAGAGAACATGGTTATGTACAGATTTAGAAATGTGACTAAAACACTAAACCTGAAAAACACATTGAGACTTATATATACAGGACATTTCATGGAAAAAAACCAAAACAATCACACAGCCTCATTTCTGTGAGAACAAATCCTGTTTTAGGAGAAATAAAAAATTACATTCTACAGGACATTGAATTCTGTAAGACTTTTACATGTAGAGACTGTGTGATTGTTCTTTGCCCCCATCTTTTCCTTTGGTCCTGGACGCCCACTGACCTCGAACTTGCTGCTCCAGATTGAGTATAACGTTAACGGCCTGATGCAGTACGATCAGTTTGGTCTGTGGTTTTTCATAGCTTAGGTGGAGCTGGCACATGCGGCCGAGCTCCTTGAAAGCCTCGTTGATGTCCCGCACGCGGAGCCGCTCGCGCGTGTTGTTTGCCATTCTCCGCACTTTTTCTCGTTCAGCCTTAACCTCCACTGGCAGGTCTTCATCATCCTCTTCATCATCTAGGCTACTATATAGAGCCAATGGCCAAAAAAGTTAGAATTAAAATACAGATTCTTATCAATGAGTTTTTTACTAGCAGTAAATTAACAATTTGTACATTACTAACAAGAAAACCATAGCCTGTGGCTTTTCAGTTGATCAATACATTTTTGGTACCATTTACAAAATCTTAAATAAATAAATAATACCTTGTTCGAATGCGGTTCCTGAACTCCTTTTTCTCGTCATCTGACCTATCAGTTACAGAGCAGTTCTCATCATCCTCCTTCCTTTCACGTTTGATGTCAGAGGAAGAGGAGCGATTTAATCCACCAGGCAGGCCTAGATACAGGAAGAAGAAGTTTATCTTTCAATACTCTATGCCACAACATTATGTCACACAAACTAAAACACTCACCACTAAAATTTTCTGGTTGAGAGCCAGACTGATTGGATGCAGGACCAAGGTGAGTGTTCAGCAGTCCTCCACTAGAGGGCAGACTTACAGAGTCCTCGTGCTGACTGGTTCCCTTCAGAAAATGCAGATATTTAAAGATTATATCAAAATCAATTCAGAAAACCACACAAAGTTGAATGTATCGTTTCAATACCAGTCCAGGTAGGCGGTTAGCAAGTCCTACAGCACCACCATAGCCCTGTGCGGATGCTAGACCAGACGAAAGCAGGTTGTGCATCTCAGTCAGTCCTGCCCTTCCCTGTGCATTGGCATGACGGTGAAGAACGTTCATCACCTCCTCCAAGCGATCCTTCATTTTATTTCATACATAAAATACAGATTATCTTCAGCAGCAGTAAATTATCATTAAACAACTGTGTCTAAACCATATCAATAGATGATGCCAACCGTAACATTCTTTGGTCACTAAAGTACATTTTCTTACCATGGGGTGCATTCCCTCTTCAAAATTAGGGGATGGAGTGTTTTGGCTTGAAGACCGAGTCCACTGGGAAGCAGAAGCTGAAGACACAAAGAGAAAATAACTCATTCACAATGTCTCCTCAACAGAGCAGAACACATAAGCCACCAGTGCAGTTCATGCCATAACATTGTTCAGTGCAATCATGTTTACTGAAGAATCAACAAACTAAAACAAAATTGTGTTGTGAACCAAATTCTATAGTTCTTAAAGTTAAGGGCCATAAATGTACAGAAATCATTCAGCAGCAGTACAAGCGTATTCCTCACTTTCTAGAGCATTTCACTTAATGTTTTCATATTTATAACAATGAGTGCTTTTCACACTTCAACAGTCCTTGAGTGTGCATAGAATAATTTCTCTGTCAAAGTCAGGATTTATCAAAACCTACTTAAACGTAAAACATGCACGCACACATGCGCGCACTGCTGACGTGTCCTCACGCACTCACACCTGCACGTCTCAGCTGCAATATGTGAATATACGGAACATTCCATGTTTGTTCCACACTCTGTAGGCGATCACAAACTTTAGTCTTTTTATAGTAACAGGACAAGATGGTCCTCTGGAAAAGCAGAGAACACTTTCCCCTTTCAATCAAACTCATTATCGTCTCATATTTGGAATGTTATTCAGAAAGTCACTGGAAAAAAATCCTTATAAGATGAAACAATTCCAGGGGCTTTTGTTCATGTTTTTAGTGGTAGGGGAAACCCTACCCAGACACAAGGAGAACATGCAAGATAACTGGAGCAAGCCACTAAACAGTTATAGTAATGCTATAACATTATGAGTTGCTTTTAGAACATATCTAATTGGGCAAAACAAACTGAACATGTCCAAAAATCAATTATACTCTATTTTACTGCAACAGTCGACAACTGGAAACTCTCCATACAGAGCTCCTGATGACCTTGAGGCACTCACCTGATACAGCCTCGGGCGAGCCAGAAGGGGTGGATGGAGATGGAGGGTAGGCACTGGTGTTTGGGTCTGAAGGATAGATCTGAAAAAGGCATCATAATGTGCATAATCAGTCCACAAATGTGATAAAAGTATTAAGTAGCCATATTTTATACTTACAGAGGCCAGAGCTTTTCCAATTTCATCACCTGAAGTTCCATGAACTGTAACACGATTACCTAAGATAATATAAATTTTAAATTTTTTTTTGCCATAAATAATTATAATTGTCATATATATATAAACAAAACAAAAATACAAAACATCATAAGCCAAAAGATGCTAGCAAAAAATTCCAATATAAAATGCTAATATTAATGTATGGATTGCCTCAAAATGATTTGAGGCCTTTTTTTTCTATTCAAACATAATAAATCTTTAATATAAGAAAATACGTTGACATTTGTATTCCACCACCATCATGAATCTTGTCGAAGTCTGTTTTGTTGGTCACTTGAGGCACATTCACACTTGATCATTCATTAATTGGATCAATTATGGTTTATTATTTGGGGCAAAAAAAATAATATTTGTGGAAATAACACCACCAAACAAGTCACTTAAGTAATTTTCTATCTTCACAAATTTGTGAATATTACATTTAAAAGTGAACCAGACCAACAAGTGTAAATGTGGCCTTAATTTATGCAATTCCTGAAGCAAGCTATAGAATCAGAAAAATTAATGCAAGATAATATTAAAGTAAAGAGTGTATGCTTTCAATAAAATAAATTCAAGGAAAACTGTACCCATTAGTGTGTCCGTGCTGGCAATGGGAGGCGTGTGGCTGGGGACTCCAAAGCTGCTGGAGCCGGACTGGAAGCCAGGAGGATGCGCTCCATTGACTTCACTCCCATGCAGGGGGTAGTTCTGAGGAGACAGTGGCAGTGGCTGCCGCTTCTGTGTAAAAAAGAAAACATACAATACATTGTCTATGTCTGATAGATCATAACGGTGGAATCCCTGATCAGGAAGCAGATAGCAATAAATAAAACACATTCAAACTAACAATAAAAAATTGCCACTCAAAACAAACACTAGACTCAACACTAGAAAAAAACAGCTGATAATGTGTGTGTGTGTGTTGTTAAAGTGAACCAACTGAACGTTGTGTGAACATGGGATGTGAGAAGACCCCATTGAATCTTGAGATTATTTCATGGTCTTGGCGGGGAATGTGCGTTGAGTGCACATTGTAGCTTCCAGATTGTAATAGAGAGGCTGGAACTAAAAGGTGCATTCATTTAAGTACAAAATATTCTACTTACATTGCTACCTTAGTGTTTATTGAACCCTCTTCACTGCTGTTGTATTGTTGCCTATTTTTTAAAACATTCAGCAAGCAGTCCAACAGATCTTTGGATCTAGCTTTGGTCCAAACCCGCTGCACCAGAGAATAACCACTCACCATTCTGTCCTGAGGGTTGATGGCAGAGAAGGAGCCATGCTGTCCCAGATGAGGGGTGTTTCCGAGTGCGGCAGGAAAGCCAGGCTGAACCATCGACCCACCGGAGCCCCATGGGTCTGATGGAGCATGGAGACCTTCTGTCAGGAGGCAGCCAGCGGACAAGAAGTGTGTGGAACATGATAGAAGAAGATAAAGCCATGTGAGACAAGTGACAACACAAAAGACGCTTATTAAACTTATTGTCAAACATGTTTTAATCAAATAAAACCCTTGTCAAACCTTGCATGTAGTAAGACGGAGGGTAGACATTTCCTGCTTTAGAGCTTGGGAAAGAAGCACTCTCCCTGTTAAATTCCTCTCCAGTCGCTGATGCATAAACCTACAAAAGTGCACACGTTACAAGCGGAACGCTTATACAGAGTCTGAAGCCAAAATGCAAATATCACTTATCACAATAACAAAATTGTTGTAGCATATTCAATAACTAAGATTTCTAGATTGCTTTAAGCACACTCATTTCATATGTGGAAAAATGTAAAGGAGAGAGACTCATGAAAAGCTGGGGAGATATATACATAACCACGCATAAAGCCAATGCATGTTCGTAACAGCACACCCACCTCAATCAACGCTATTATAATAAAACTAAACTCAAATGGACTCAAGTTTTCTTCTGCAATTTGATTTAACAAAAAGAAAAAGAAGAGGAAAAGAAGGAAGAGACGAGCAAACGGAGAGATGCACTACTAATTACTGAACCATCTGCCGAATCCTGGACTGCAGCCAACTCCACTGGCAGCTGGGATAGAGGGAGGGAGAGGGGAGGGCTGTTGTTCATGGCGGTGGGGGTGGGAGGAAAGGAAGAAACCGAATAGGAGGAAATAGGGTGCAGCAACGAAGTGGGAGGAAAAAATGAGGTGGAGTGAAAACCATCAGTGATCTAACTTGGCTCAAGCACAGAACTGCGGCCATAAAGTAAAGGCTGTACCAATACTGCTATAAATACGAGCAGTGGATCAGAGACCAACCAAAGGCATGGTTTTCTGCTTTTATTTTTGCAGCAGCACAAGCGTCATTCTATACAAAGACTGAGAACCATTTTCAATTCAAAAGGCAGAGCTACAACACTATGGCGTCACAGTCAAAAAATGAATATGAAGCAATAAAAAATAAAAAATACTCACAAAGGGTGAACCTACCGAAGATGGTAGACCAGGTGGAACCTTCCTGATCTTTTTAGGCTGAGTTTCTAATGAGACAGATAAAACCTAGTGAGACTACACTGCATACACACACCTTCTGAACTCAACACTTGAAATAAAGTGTCTCCCAAAGTCTTACCAATGGGTTCTTGAGCAGGTCGTCTGCGTAGGTTGCCTCCCCCATAAGAGGAATAAAACTGTGCATTTGACTTGGGGCCGGAGGATGAAAGAGCATCAGGACTGTTCAGGGACATTTCACTGGGCATAAATCCAGACTACAGTGGAGAATAAGATACAAACATGTACAAATTAATACTGTGATAGAAAAATATATAGTAAAAACACAAAGCTGTAAAGGAGCATGTGTTCTGGAAAATTTACCTGTGTTGGAAATGAACTATAAGCGCCACGATCAGCCTTCCCTGTTAAAAAAAAAAGGTCTAATCAGGTCATGATTATAAAACATTTTATGTCAGTGTTAAATCACAGCATATTCCGGCCCTTTTACAGTTTGTGAGCTCACCATCTGCCGTTTAAACGTATATGATGCAAGTATTTATGGATCTAGACCAAAAAAACATCAACAAATTGCCCCATTATAAATGGTTTGGGGGTAATTTCACCCAACCTCTGGCCCCTCCCTTGACAGTTAAACACAGAAGAGCCATGGGCTGCAGTAATCCCAGGGGGAGAGCCTCGTTTGTGCATGGGTGCCCTTTACACCCAACCCCCTCTATCACGAGCACACAAACAAACCCACCTCCTGCCCCCCCTCTCCCCATTAACCTCTGCTTCAGCCATCTAACCAAAAAAGCTTTGACCAGAGTTGTGCTTTGTGTCTAAATGCCTCTTTAAAAAGTAAAAACACGAAATAACTACAGGGAAAACAAAGTCAACAGTACGATGCAATGTGCATACCAACAGCTCCTGGGCCAAAGAGCGGAGCAGAAGTGATGCCTTCCTGCTCACTGTAAAGACTTCCTTCAACGTAACTCTGTAAAAGATTAAGCTTCAGATCAAAAAGTTGACAAAATAATTGGCTATTATCAACTTCTAAAGAACTATAAACATTAGAATATGTTTTATACCGTTTATGATGTAGAAGAGGTAGAAAATATATAAACCGATTGTAATGCAATGCCTAAATGTAGTTTTTAGTATTGAATCTACAATATTCAGGAAATATTCATACCCTTGACTGGTTGAAGGATGGACTGTTCTGCTCTCCTTGTCCCCAGGGAGCAGACCCATTCCTCTCATCTAGGAGACAAAGAACTTTGTTAGGACAATTAAAAAATAAACACAACAGAAATACACTCCACAAAGTGGAGTCAAACTTTGAATCGTCAAGTTGACCTGCTTTGATCTAAGTTTGCGACTCTCCGGAGAGTGTTCTGCATCGAGAGCAGACATGACAGTGACGCGCTGTCACGCAGTGAGGAGGTTATGAGCTGTAGGAAGTTTGAATAATTAACACTCTGTGTGAGCCTCAGAATCCTCCTTCTCCCACTCCTCACGTTTTCCATGGCAACAGTCGCTCAGGCCCATTCTCTCACTTTTGGCAGTCACCTTTAGCGCCTGAGAGACACAACGTCTCAATCACGCACAGTTGACACTCGCGATGCCTGGCCACAGCACTTCAGCTCTCAAAGAGGTGAGTGTGTTTGAAAGGGAAGATTTTAAAGATTAGCCAAGCAGAAATTTCTGCCTGTCCTCTTTTCCTCAATTTCCTCTCATACTGCAACTCGGGATCTCTGGGGATAGCTGAAGCTTAATTGCGTGCTGATTTGCATAATTGTGCATATTAATGAAGCCAGGCTCTATGAATATTCATATTTTTGTTTTGTTGTCTAATTAAAAAGCAGAGATGGGAGAGGAGAGGGGGAGAGGGGTTTGAATCATGACAGGATCAGCAGTAGAACAGAATAATAGGTCCATAGTGCGGAGAGCAGTTTGCTGTGACAACTATGATCTATACGTGCAGTAGCAGAGGAATAAGAGATGGTTTTATCGCTGAGGCCGACTGTCACTCAAGCTGCCACTCAAACACTCCAGAGAAGACTGAAACGAGTCCTGTTGGTGCAGAATAATTCTAATTCAGTCTGACAACAAGCACCGACGGTGACAAATATTGTTCAAGCCGATGCAACTGAACTATACACAGAAAGTCTGCATACCTTAAACATAACTAACCACATGTTACAAGTCAGAAAAAGAGGTGTGCATTTTCTTGTACGTTTTTGTATTTGGAAAAATTAATAAATCTTATTACTAAATCTACAAGTGCCATTTTTTTACCCTACCCCTTTGTATGTAAGAATACAGCTGAAAAACTTAATTAGCTCAAAAATGAAAAAAAAAAAAACATTTGTCTTGCGATCATGTAAACTGATTAATTATAGAAACTATTGTGAATTAAGATGGGGATAAATATTTGTGCCAGTGTTTTTACGGCGCACAGTAGAAATAAAAGGAAAAACCAAATAAATAGCTGTAATATAAACATCTACTTTTGTTATGAAATAATCCTTATCTGTTTTACACAGCTAAAACAAGCCCTATGCAGAGAGAAAACGTTTTAATTAAAACTGTATCAGACAGATATTGTGGAAACATAGGTTTCCGCAATGCCTAATCCCACTGGCCATATTCAGTGGGATTTGACTTAAACCCATTAACTAATAACTAAATGTTATTAACCAAATGATTAATAGATACCAATAAAAAAGCCTCATAAAAACGTTAACAACTGAAACAACAACGAGAATCTAAAAATGTAAGCTGTACTCAGGCTGTCAGCGGGGCCTGGAAAAAGAAAAATGAAGAAAAGGGTGAGTAACATGAGACAAACTCTCTGGCGAACCCCAATGCACCTCTCCCAGCATGCAACGCCCCTCTGAGCGCGGCTGCTCTATAATTACACAGAAGATACTGAAAACAGACGAGCGGCTTGAGTCACAGCTTCAACAGCACAAGCACTGACCCGACTGCAGACGCACCGGGTCCGGACAGGAAGACTGCCCCCGGCGACTGTGACTGCGGAGCGACTGACTCAGACACAAAACATGATGTCAGCCTCTCTCCTGAGAGCGCGTGTAATGAAGAGCTCAACAATGTACACGAAGCCCGGCCATTTGAACCGGAGACACACAGAGTCAGGAACATTTGTGTTCTCATTTAAGCAATTGAAAAATGTTAATTCAATTAAACTTATAAATGTTGGAACAGGAAATATCTGAAAGTATTCATGCAAATGTCTGCTCTCTTCTTCTGCATTTTGAGAGTTTAAAAATATGTTTCATGATTCTCAGTTTCCAAAGACCAATAAATGAAAGTGTGCTGAAGGATTTCATGTGTAGCTTCTAGCATTATGAACAATTATTCAAAAAGTTGAAGTGAGGAAAATGCACCATGAATATTATAAATAGTTTGGACAAAATTGAATGCGTTAAAATGTGTCATTAACACCTTCCATATGTTCAAAAAGTAATACGTTGTAACAACTGTGTGTTAGGAAAATGATAATTACAATTAAACAGGACATTTGAGATGCATTTCAGGGAGAATTTAAAATGAGTCAGCAAAGACTTTGGGGTGGGGTGTAAACTTAACCTCCAAAGACAATGGCGTGAACAGACTTGGGGCCGATAACATCAGCGCATGTTTTTAAGCGAACACCTTTTACGATACAAAAGGAGCGAGTGGCCTCAAGTGAATAGAAGAAAAGGAGCTGGGGATCCCACCCTGCCACCACTGGCCTTGTCTTTCATCTCACACTAATATCCTGTTTCACTCCTAAAGCAGCAGAAAAATATCACTTAAGACTAAGTTCAACAAACAATATCCACAGCCTTCATATGTTGTAGTTTTGACCTAGCAACAGGATATAGCACTGAATAAAGATTTAATGAATGGAACATGGTTTTCAAAAAACAACTTAAAACAATGGGAAAAACACACTTGCTGACAACGTTGACAAAAACAGATTAATTGGTCTTTTTCCCATCATCCCCCACTCTGTTTCTGTCATTAGTGATTGAATGACAACAGCTGAAGAGGTGAGGGAAGGGACACCTGTAAAGCCGGACGAGGAAGTGAAGCTACAGCGATGAGGCGACAATTGTAAAGCCAAGAGAATTTGTGAACTAATAAATAACTAACTGAAAACAACTTAAACTTATCAACTATGTCCAGCTTAGTGAGCTTTGTTTAGATAAGGGGAAATGTATAATATAATATTGAAACTAAACAGGATATTAAAGGACAGAATACCGAAAAGAGAAGGAGAAGTGAAATCATGAGTTTTATCTCAGCCTCACCTGCACCTCCAAACTGGCTGGCGAGAGTGGTTGGACGATTCTTTCCATTTGAAACTGGAAGCTCAAACATCTGAAAAATTATAATCACTGTTATGACAGAGTTCATGTTTAAGAATAAGAGCAGTGTTTTAAATAGCCAAACAAAATTACATTATTAGAGATTTGTATAATGAGCAAAGTCAAAGATGTTGTGGACATAACACACAAACACACAAAAACAGGAAATACACGTTTTAGATTTGATCCTCATCTTACCGCAGTAAAATCCAGCAAATCGCTGAGCTCCTTGTCTGTTCCCACCGCAGCCATTCTGTGCGGCTGATCACTGGGCCCTTTCAGTCGCAGCAAGTGACTGCACAGAGGAAAGCACAACATCAGTTGTTGTGAACAACACAACACGTCAATACCCACTTAGGACGTTTTCTGTCGTAGGTTAATTGATCACATTGTAATGATATAAATCCATTCATAGAAGACCTAAAACATGATCGTTAGTCTTCAATTAAACAATTCATTTTCAATATATGACCTAAAAATTTTATTGTGCCATTTTCCTGTCACGTTAGCACAATAACAGTCACATTTCTTTACTATCATCAGAGTAATTTAGTCTATCCGCGATCCTGGAGATTGTCACAAGCGAGGAATGGTTTTCCATTCAACAATTGTGTTGAGTAAGGATTTGCAGTTTGTGTGCTTATTTCTGCAAATAATAGTACATTAGCCACGTTCTTTAAACACATATCGTGAGAACCATGCTGTGTATTGATGTAGTGTAGGGGGCACACACACACACACACACACACACACAGTTCACATGAAATATCCTATGGTTAACACATAGAAGAAAACATGATCTAGCACTGGTCTAATGATTTAATCTGCAGTCCGTCCACCAGCTGCAAAAGTTTCAGGGTTCAGCCACATCCATCAGAGGCACAGAGCTCCGCCACAGGCCACAGAGGTACGTTTATCCACCTCAAACCAACCTGCTACAGATGTGGTACAGCAGCCTCACATCTTTAGTCATAAGCCTTCAGTCCAGTCCTTTGATTTCAAGCAACCAAAGAAACCCCTTCAGTAATTACTCAGTGTTAGGGTTGAGAGACATCTTTCAAGCCTCCAGAAAAAGACAATTGAGTGTCAATATTCGTTGTACCCATGTGTACCCAAATAAACCATAATTATGTATAATTTAATGACACTGACACATGTGTGTCATATTATTGGGCAACAGGTCTCGTCAAAGTAAAAGTCATAAAAATCTAGATTCAAAAGGAAGATTAATTCTTTCTTTCAGTTGAATGAAATGCTACTAAATCCTTTGACACAACAAAGTCTTGCATTTTGTGCGTCTGGCTGAGCTGAGGTCAAAATGGGGGATTAGCCCCTCCTATAGTCTTGAACACCCCCACCCCAGTCCAGGCATATTCATGAGACCAGGGACCAAATACCACAACATCACGATCTGGCACTAGAACAAGGGATGAGCCAGGTCACACTTTTACCTATTTGCTCTAGAAAGTACACACACACACACACTAGACACATGTAAAATAAGGGAAACCTGTTGACAGCCCCAAGTCTGGAGAAAAGGACACCCACTGAGGCACAAAGACTGCCCCCCCAAAAGTTTAGTTAGCTGCTCAGAACGTGACATGCGAAAACACACCAATTGTTAGAATTTCACACCATGTAGTCCCATGTATTTAAATAACACTTCCAATGTGGCACGGAGAGGCTTTCAGATGTGTGGGGGAAATGTAGGCGAACGTAATTGATCTGTTTTAATCAAATGTGATAAGAAAATATAGAGAAGCTTTCATGATCATCTTGTTTACCATAAAAGGTTAAATAAAACAGATGTAATGGTTTTCAGTGGGATGGATTAGAATAAAACACCGTGTGGATGATTGCAGATCGGATCGGTTTGTAGCTGAATGGAGTTACGATAGTTTGGGTGGATGATCCAAGACGAGTAAAATAATGGTTGCCAAAATATAAAATGAATACGCTGGAATAAAACACATTCATATGGCACATGGCCCAACGGGGGTGAAAAGCAGATAATCCTAAACCCCGCTCTTCTCCCTCCGCCGTAGCAGCCAAAGCAACTTCATTTAATTCAACTTGGTTATTACTCCAGTACGACATCGTGGTTATGCACACAAGTGGATCAAATGTGTGTTTACAAATGCAGTTACCTGGCCGTGGGTTTAGTGCATTCACGCTGAAGGTCGGGCTCTTGCGACAATGTAGAAAAACAAAGTTATGGAGCGGATCCTTTTCCCCGTGCTCCGGCTGAGGGCTTTTGTGAAGAAAAACTAGTTCAACAATCCAGCGATATCTCGTCACGACGTCTCGATTAAACAAATCAACTCGCGTCTTTTACACGTTTCATGTCGCCTCGAATCCGCGTCGCCTAAAGTTTAATTTGTAAGCATTTCATTTTCCAAGTAAGACATGTAGCAGCCTCCACATTGTCGGCTCCGGAGCGTATCCGTCCGCAGGCTGAGGACATGAGAGGCGACCGTAAAACAGCGCCGCGGTGTCCAATTTCACTGCAACTCACTCAACACTCAACACGACAGAAGACTCGGTATCACCACGGAATAAACATGCACGCTGACTGGATAATGTTTATTTTCCTTCAGAAATAAGCGCGAAAGACGAAACAAGGTTCGTACGAATTAATCCGATGAGGACTATATTGGCTCGCGGATGGCGACAGTGAGCACGACAGAAAGAGTAGATGGAGTGATACACGAGTAGGGCGACCAATGGGGCACGAGCTCAGGGTGATTGACAGATGTGTATGTGGATGAAACGCCCACATTATTTACGCCAACATTTGGATCAGACCACAAATCTATTCGAATAGGATATAAAATATAGATGATATATCAGACCTGCTTTTAGCTTTTGGGAACGTTTGGTGGCATATTCTGTTCTTAAAACGTGCAACCTTTCTATTGAGGCTTTCATATGACGGCTACGTTTCAGATTATTTGCCTGGAATGATCCAATATATTTATCTCATCTATGTTCACTGATACGACCCGACCATCACAGAACAGTTATGTGAAGAAGGGAGGCCCTGCCTACGACCCGAATTAACATTTTTAATTTTAATGAAGTGACAATTTTTTTGGGAAAATTGATGCAAACAACATAGAATAATACAATACTACGTGCAGGCTATATGTTTATCAAATGTAGGTAAAAATCCCCAGAGAGCTGCCAAACTGTCAATAAAAGAGAGGAAAGGGGTCCATCAATATTAAAATGAGCTGATATAGTGATGTAGAATCTCAACGCAACAAATATAAAATTATGTTAGACAAACATACAACATACATACATACATGCATTTCCAAAAACAAGAATGGTTTGCAGAAGGTTATTTTAAGTATTCATGCACACCAAGGTATGCCACTGTAAAACTCTACATTGTAGATGATGGTCAAGACTCAAGTCAACAGAAAGAAAATTATAGTTTCTTTGTCCAAAGTCTGACTGATTGAAATATGTTTTTAGTGTTTGTTTTATGTGTTGTTTCAGTGGCTTATTTAGACATGTTGAGTTCAAGTCTTGCTCTTGAAGACTTTCAGGAGAAAACCTCAATTGGTTTGAGGGGAAACAACCTAAATAACATCTGTGCTGGTCTTTACGAGAAAACTCAGCCATTCACTTTGTGGTTCACAAACACTCAGGCAGACACATGCTCTCCATCACGCACATGCATTTGGTCACACCTGTTTGTCATTAAACACGTGCAAAGGCCAAATTATTCTTTAATCTTAAGAACAAAAAAGAAACATTCTAACAGTGTTCAAATACAGCATAAAAAGATGGTGATCAAACCTGGTTAATAGCATAATCATCAAACAGCTTCAGTGTATGGGGAAGCACTATAGAGCATATAGGCCTTTTTGTGATTCAAGAGTAAAGGATCAATGTTACTGTAGGTAGTAGAAAGAAAAAATATAGAAACAGCAATAACATTCAGACAAAAAAATGCTATTTTTAGCATGGTACTCTTTGTTTTCCCTAACCCCAAAGTGTTAACCCTCCTCTCCACCCACACTTTCCTGGGCTCCCTCAATTCTACACAAGCATCATTGCAGCATTTTAAATGGGTTACCCCCAAACAGCCACCCACGCATCAGGTACAGTATGAAAAGCTTAGGCATCCTGTTATGACTGCTGGTTTCCTGTTTCCTGCAAAAATACCCCCTCTCCCCCCTCTTATTCACAAAGGCATAACACACTACAACAGTAACTCATAAACACAAACACCAAGGCGTCAGCTGCTGTTGCCCCCATTTCATTTTCATAAAGGAGGTCTACTTTTCTTCCCACATGCACCAGACTTGGGGAAAATGACATGCTTCAGTGCAGTGTGTGGTGTAATGGCATGTCATTGGGCCAAAGATGTCAAAAGCAGCTGTTCTCCCCCATTCATCCAAATAATTAATAGTTTTTCACATATAACGTGTTGTTTTTATATGCCAGAGAGGAAGATGTACAAGTGTCCGGGGACTACTAAAATTGCAATAACGCAGGAGTGTGCTCAAGTGTAAATGGTAGCTGTGTTTTTTACAAAATGACATCTAAAATAACAGAAACACACTGCACCACCTGCCAAGATACCTGCACGTCTCTCTCTCCAGGGGTCAGCTCCATCACTTTTAATTACCCCCAAATCACCTGGATTCATGTCTTGGCTCTAAATACTCCCTGACAATGTAGATAGTTCTTATGCATCAAAAACTTGTACTGGCAGTGTCTATTGGACACATAATATGTATATGAGAGCCCTCTGAAGACGCATTTATGAGAATCAAAGTATTTTTGTTGACATAAATGTTTTATTTGTTATTTACGTATAAGAAGTTCTTTCATTTCCAGTTTAGGCGCAAACCCGGGACAATATTCTGTTCCAAATTTTTAGTTCTTTATCCCCTCCCCCACGTTCTTGCAGATTGGAATTCATCAGCAATCAAAGAGCCACTGACAAACGCCCAATCTTAATTACGCCCTTATTTGCATATTTGCATATTAATGAGTGCATAGTTTGCTGTTTTCCTGCTGCAGTAGACCCCACCCCCATCACCACACTGGCTGCACACTATCTTCATGTCCAAGCTCAAGGCCGGGCACTATCAGACTCAAGTTGCTGCTTGTGGGAGACGTTTTATTTGGGCTCAAACACTGGAATCTCTGTGCAGTAATGTAAACAGTGTTGGTCCGTCTGGTTTGCCTTTATCCAACAAATGCTTCCCCCTAGTGGTTGAAACAAGAAGAGGGAAGAGTGGTCATGAATTATCCAGCTTAAGAAAGGGTAACAACACATGCATTATCAAACTGTTATTGTTTATTTATTTATACTAATGTATTTGACAAAGAAAATGCATTCTTACATATTTACAACAAAAGATGCAACTGATGCAGTGATGAGGTATATCAAATGTTAATTCTTAACTTCTGTCCCTGGTTGAGCTTTTTCTACTTTATTGAGGTATAAGATCGCAACCATGTGATTTGACAGTGCCCTTATTATTCAATTGTGTTCCTTATTCAAATATTCATGCTTTATTTTTCTATCATTATTGGTCCGATATATTGATAATGATCAAAAGGTAATTTGATTTGAAATATGTTTACACCATCTCTGAACAAGAGGATGTTCTTGAACTAGTATATTCTTTATATAATTCCACTATTTAGACAATATTAACCCTTTACGCCAAGAGTTTTTCATCAGACATTTCATGTGAAAAAGACAAAAGATGGAGCCCTGAAAGTGCATAAGATATAGAGAAATACTAAAACTAATACCTTCTAATTTTCCTTCTTTCCATGTTCTGTGTTTGTAAGTGATAGTGAGACAAATATGAATTTCAACCTCACTAGGCAAAAAATATTTATTCTATTCAATCATTGGCCGCAAAGCTTGATTTTTCATCCATTAGCATCAGAGCCATGATTAGCACATGACGTGATGGTATTTTACTGCCACCTAGTGAAATTGATCCGTAATTAAACATTCTGGAGCTGAAGTTTAAAAAAAGAAAATAGACGCTATTTATTTTTTAATTTTACTTGTAAATCACCTTTACACTTCAGGCTAAAACATGTTTTATCATAAAGATGCATTCTTTAATTGATATTATTTTTGAGTGTTCCTATGTCTCCATGTTCAGTACGGTTTTTTACATTTTTTGTTTGAAAAAAAAAAGCTAAAAACTAAGGAGAGGGAAGATGAACTGATCTTGTGGAAATAGGTTGCCACCAAAAAAATAATAATAACATACTTACCAAAAATGCTGTTATTTGTTAATATAAGGACCGTCTCTCCAATTCCTGAGATTCCTCACTTCTCTGATTCGTACTTGGTAAGTGCTTCTTTGGGCAGCAGCTCCTTCAAAGAAAGAGTGAAGTTGTGCATGTTATAAACTTAGTTATGCTTGATGTATATTTAGTTCACATCATTGCTAACAGCATTACAGTTTGAAACAAGAAAAATGCAACACAAACATTTGAACTGGTTGCATCTGACAGATTTGGTAAGGTAATGTTCTGTTTCTTGTGTCTGGGAGAAAAAGTGTCAACACAGAAGTCAAAACACTCAAGGTGCCAAAAACAATGTAGGGAGTGCTCTTGTTGCAGACGCCTGGGCACATAGAGTCATGTGAAACTGCCATTTTGGAAATACTTCAATAATGCATACATAATGTTTGTACCTAAATAATTAATATAAGGGCACAAAATGCTGCCTATCCGGCCAGATGTAGAACAAATCCCCTGTGTTCCTTATGACGGTAGGCATCACCTCAATAAAAAACACAAAGACGAACACAAAAGCGGAGGAAATCCCAACCCTTCCAGTCAGAGCGAGCATCTGGAACACTGCTTCCATGTCTGTCGAGGGGAGAAAAAAACCTCAGAATGTGTCTTAGGACGTGTTTTATCATTCTCAATACGCACCATCAAGCACCAGCTGGAGTCTCAGCAGCAAAATTCCACAAAACAACAGGGAGGAATATGGGCCTTGACACTCTGTTGATCAGGATCCAGGTCATTATATAGGCCACGATGTTGATCACGGCTGAGATAAAGCAGTTTAGATACTTGTTTCCATTCAAGTTGCTTGTGTTGAGCCCATGAAAACCATGACAACTGTAAACCTGCAAAGGAGAAAGCACAGCACTTATAAACTGACAAATTGAGAAATAATGGTTTGTATGTGTTGCTAAATATCAAAGAAAAAAGTAGTAATTATAGTAGTATTATCACCATATGAAAATTCCTATGAATGTAATGATTCTGATGTTTGATGTGCGTACAAGATCCAAACACGAATGATTTTCTCCATGACCGAATTTCTAACACAGAAAGACAAAGTATAAAGCGTTGTGTCAGGTTGTGTTAACAAAAGTAATAACGCAAAACCGCACCTTCTGATTAAAACAGTTGTCTAATGTAAATACAGTGGGGCAAAAATGTAATTAGTCAGCCACCGATTGTGCAAGTTCTCCCACTTAAAATAATGACAGAGGTCTGTAATTTTCATCATAGGTACACTTCAACTGTGAGAGACAGAATATGAAAAAAAATCCAGAAATTCACATTGTAGGATTTTTAAAGAATTTATTTGTAAATTATGGTGGAAAATAAGTACTTGGTCACTTCACTTCACTTTCACAGACCTGTAACTTCTTCTTTAAGACTCCAAACCAAGGACCAAGGACACCAAAGGACCTGGTGAATGACCTGCAGAGAGCTGGGACCAAAGTAACAAAGATTACCATCAGTAACATACTACAACGACAGGGAATCAAACCCTGCTGAAGCCAGTGCATGTCCAGGCCCGTCTGAAGTTTGCCAGAGAGCACATGGATGATACAGCAGAGGATTGGGAGAATGTCATGTGGTCAGATGAAACCAAAGTAGAACTGTTTGGTATAAACTCAACTCGTCGTGTTTGGAGGAAGAAGAATACTGAGTTGCATCCCAAGAACACCATGCCTACTGTGAAGCATGGGGGTGGAAACGTCATGCTTTGGGGCTGTTTTTCTGCTAAGGGGACAGGACGACTGATCCGTGTTAAGGAAAGAATGAATGGGGCCATGTATCGTGAGATTTTGAGCCAAAACCTCCTTCCATCAGTGAGAGCTTTGAAGATGAAACGTAGCTGGGTCTTCCAGCATGACAATGATCCCAAACACATCGCCCGGGCAACGAAGGAGTGGCTCCGTAAGAAGCATTTGAAAGTCCTGGAGTGGCCAAGCCAGTCTCCAGACCTCAACCCCATTGAAAATGTGTGGAGGGAGTTGAAAGTCCGTGTTGCTCGGCGACAGCCCCAAAACATCACTGCTCTCAAGAAGATCTGCATGGAGGAATGGGCCAAAATACCAGCTACGGTGTTTGCAAACCTGATAAAGACCTATAGTAATCGTTTGACCTCTGTTATTGCCAACAAAGGTTATATTACAAAGTATTGAGTTGATTTTTTTTTATTGACCAAATACTTATTTTCCACCATAGTTTACAATTCTTTAAAAATCCTACAATGTGAATTCATGGATTTTTTTTTTCACATTCTGTCTCTCACAGTTGAAGTGTACCTATGATGATAATTACAGACCTCTGTAAGTGGGAGAACTTAGCTTAGCTGCTCGACAGATGACAGCCTCAGCTTCTTTGACTCTCTTCTTCTGCAAAAGCCAGCGTGGAGACTCTGGTACCACCCTGAGAAAGTTGTGTAGGGATAATAAAATAGCCGTTTGAACTGCTATTGACTTACCGATTAAACCAGGTACAGCATACGCTATTAGCAGCATCCTCCAGTTCTTTAGCAGCAGAGCATTTAGCTACCAAGCTCCTTTACTGTGGAATCAGCTTCCCATTTATGTTAAGAAAGCAGATACGGTCTCCACATTCAAGGCCAGGCTTAAAGCACTCTACTTTAATTTAGCATATAATTAGGTAATATATAATATGTGGTGTATATATTATATATACATGCTGTATTATGTTATATATGTATTATGTTGTGTATTGTGTTATGTTGTATATTATGTTATATATTATGCTGTATGTTATGTTGTGTATTATATATGATATATATGGTATGTATGGTATATATGATGTATATGATATATAATATATAATTAGGTTTGCTTGGATCGGTTTGCACACCTGGTGTGCAATCCATGAATCTTGGTGCTGTGACCTAGGCTAGCCTAGCCGTGGCTGCTGCTGTCTCACCTCCTTTCAGATACGCTCTCTTTATTCAAGGCTAGGTTTAAAACACTCCTCTTTAGTTTAGCATATGGCTAGGAAGGTAAGACTCGGGGAAGGCTAAACTCCTCAGACTGTCAGTCAAGCTGCATAGGGAAACAGTTTGCTGGGAGAAGTATGGTAACTTGAGCACTATCCTCTCCTCCTTCCTACTTTATCTGTTTATCATTTTTAGGATTTTGACTGTAGTTTGTTCATTGCTATTCACCCGTTGTCCCATTGTCTGTTTCATGGTACGATGACGGGATCTCTGAGCCTGGCCTCCTCCATCTACACCTGCGGACTGCCCCGCCCGACCCGCCTGGGAGTGCTTCGGTCCTGCACCGGACCTGTCCACGTTCAGCGGCCACTGGTCCACGTCCTGTAGCTAGCTTAGGTCCTAGATCATTAGCCTGTCCGTCCGGAGGAGCGGATCCCTTTCTCAAATGGGTCTTCCTCCCTGTGGGTTTCCCTAGTTCTCCCCAAGGTTTCTCACTTTTTCCTACTGGGTTTTTTAAGAGTTTTTCCTTGTCGATGCAGGAGGGTCTTGTTGGACAGTTAGTGTCCAACAGAAAGGATTGGTGATGATCAGGACACTTTAGCATTCTACAACATGTATGGACATTTTCTTCTGTGTGTGCTTTATATCTTTCATGTGTTTTAACTGTTGATTCTCTGATCTGTGTTGGTGATTTCAATGGTTTTGTTAAGTCCTCTGAGATGACTTCTGTTGTGACCTAGGGCTATACAAGAATAAATTGTATTGTATTGTATTGTATTTATGAAGTATGCAAACAGAGGTATAAGGCATAACCGAGCCCAAACCCCACACTCTGACCCAGCAGGTTAAAGATCATACGAGGCTTGGAGCTCAGGATCTCACTCCCTGAAGAAAAAAAAAAAACACAACATATATTAAGTTATGATAAGATGGTCCTTTGTTCGTCCCACGGTGGGGAAATTTCAATGTCATCGTTGCGTAGTAAGAGCACACAGGATCTATTAAAGATATTAGATTAAACAATATTAAGTGATAAGATAATGGAATTAGATCAAATAAAACTTTGGAGCACTAATTGCACTTGGTTCAGAGGTATTTACAGATGTGTATATTGTACTTTAGCAGCAGAGAATGTGACCAGAACAAACAATAGCATTAATAGCAGGAGTAAAGTGACTAATGAATTGTCAGATGAATGAATATGTAATAATAATAACATCAACAGCAGGTAAAATGACCCCGCAGTTCTCGTTGTAGATTAAGTGTCCAGACTATGAGCTGAACAGATGTACAGTATACAATTGTTCATTACCAAGAATCAGAGAAGCAGTGTAGCAAGAAGTCTGTCCAAATCCTCTCAAACTATTCAACATGGTAAACATGACCCAATTGACAGATGCAGCTTGGATCAATGCAGCAATAGTTTGTATGGCCATAGTCAAAAACAAGACGGGCTTCCTCCCAAACCTTCAACGCACAAGAACCTATTATTATGAAAAACAAACGAATGACTGAGACCTTACACAAACAAACCTCTTGTTATGTGCCTCATCTCACCCTGCATTACACTGCACTAATACAAGGTTACAGGATAGGATAGAGATAGACTTCATTGATCTCACATTGGGGAAATCTACACATTTGGCAAAGATAGTATCACTCAGGTTGTGCAAAAGACAGGAAATGTGCAAAAGTAAAAATATAGTATTTTTTGTGCAATATATGATGTAAAATGACATTGAAAGTGACTATTAAAGGTTATCTTCTTTCACTCAATACACAATAGTTATGACAGGAAAGTATAAGCTATAGCCACAGCAAACTGGGTTACAAGACTGATCTGAACTTTAATTACTAGTATAAAAGAAAAGAATATTGAATATGTTGGTCCCAGGCACACAACCAACCTGTTGGACAAGTTTCCACATACAAAGCTCCCAGTCAAAACTCCAACAAAATAAAGGGAGGAGGAACATGGGACCTTCCAGGCATTGTCACACACCAGCTTCCACTGAAACATGCAAACGTAATGGTACACATCCATATCTCTTGTTTTCCTTTGAACCTATATAGAGTGAGCCCTTACCTCGGACACAATAGTGGCTGTGTAAATATCTGCTGAATTCCCATCCGTCTGTGCACGGCTCGGTGTTTTTGACCAGATGTGTTTCTGTAAAGTTATGTTTGTATTTGCTGCAGCTGTTGAGTCCTGTAGTGTTTCTGTCCAAACTCTGCTCCGTTCCGTTTGTGAAAATTGTTATTCACTTTGCAATGAAACTCCGGCGTGTCGGATACAAAAACGACAACCATACCCATGTACCCACAGGGGATGATAAAAAAAACTCAGCAAAAATATTAAGGAAACTTGAAAAGCACCGTAGTCTCCGAGGAATAAAGTCACATCATCAAAGTGGGCTGTTTTTCCATCCGACATGTTTTAGGTGATGCAGTAACAGCCACTTAACTTGTCGAGTGTCATACGTTTGAAACATGTCCTGATGCGTATACTTTGAGAGTTGCCTTAGGCGTAGCTTGACACAAAAGACGGACAGGTTGCTCTCCCAAGAGAAAGTTAAGACATGTTTAGATTCATCTGTTCCTTACACTTTTTGAAAGGTTTGAAAAAACTGTTCATT